CCCCAATAATTCGACTCAGCACATGAATGAATGATTGAATGAATGAAGGAATGAAGGAATGAAGGAATGAAGGAATGAAGGAATGAAGGAATGAATGGACGAATGAATAGTGGTTTATGAATTTCAAAATGAATATGATAAATTGTGTATGATATGGAACTCTTCTTCGTCGCATCGAATCGGTTTATCTGGATGTGGTCTGCGCTCCTTCGGTTCTATCGAGTATGAATACATAGAGTACATTAGAGGTATCATCCCGGGGAACACAGGAGGAGCGCCTTTTTCCACCATTCATTGCTCCTGAGGTGCTTGCGTATTGTTACATATATTTTCTCGGGTAGGGGGGGTAAGGTTCAGGGGTGATCCCTTTCGATAGTCGACCACGAAGTCTGGACTAAGTGCGGTACAGAACAGTTTTGTATCCCACCGTGAGTTGCGATCGCCTGTTGTTCACTCCACAGATAGAATCAACTCCAACCCGCTATTACATGATACTGCAGGTTTCAGAGGCTAACCCCCAAGTATACCGCCGGAGCGGCCAGCTGCATTGATAATCAATCCCGAGTAGATTTACCGTATTGGTATCAAATATTGAACTCTGTAGTGTACGTTCAGATCACTTCTTCTTGTGTAGTTGGAGGTACAGTAGACATGAAACAAATCAACTGCTAGGTTTCCAGCCCTCAGGCTACACCACGACGGCGCACTTTGGCCTAACGACAATACGAGGCCTGCCCCTAATCCATAAACCTAACGTTAACCTAACCCACACCCACGTCCCAACCTTGGTGTACGCACGCCGCGCGTATTTTGGCCCGTTTTTTTCCGCGGGGGCTCCGCGATATAGCCGGTTGAATCCGAGAGAGGCCTAGACTACGCAAGAAGCGCCCCGCGGTTGCGTGGGCGCCGGGAGGGATTGACCACCCTCCTGCCGCCGCTTGTTGCGCCTGACATCGCACACCTGTACACCAACCAGAGCGGCATCGGAGGTAAGTTTTTCACGCAATGTCATTTCCTTTCAACCCAGAACACTCGTTACGAGTTGTGCTGTGTGCGTGTACAGCAGCTACATGTATAGTCTACATAGTCTTTCAGTGTCACCCAAGATCCTAACGAGACCAGCGGAACGGTGAGTTGGCTTACAGGCAAGGAGGGCGCATGGCTCGGCCCACAGGCTCACGGCAACAACTCATAGCTTTCAGGTGGCTACACCCTACCTTCGTAAGCTTGGGCCAGGACTGAAGTTGTTGAAATTGCGGCACAATCAAGCTTCCAACGCCGTTTTGTGAACCAACTCGCCAGCCGTTTCATGTGATCGCTGGAATGCAAATTTCGGGTTACCCAGTAGTCAAAGATGTAAAGATTTGAAACGTCCGTATCAAAGGTGCAGTGCTTGGTACCCCTTTGCTATTTCCGGCCTTGCAGAAATGCAGGCAGCATTCTGTTGCCGAATGACATGACGACATGTTCCTTCGACAGAAGTGTACAGTGCAGTACGGCTAAGCTTGAGAAGCAACCCTAATCTACAGCACTCTGTGTTGTATAGGTCTACCGGAATTCAAATTGACAGCAGTTATGGATGCGATACGTGTGCCTCGCTTACATTCGCTGAACCTCAATCGGAAGCGTACAACCCGCAGAGGATAGCTTACGCCCAACGAGGACAGCCGTGAACACTATCCTCCACCTGCCTGCGGCAAGAAGAGTGCTAAGGGGCCGAAATACGGACGATGCACCTACTCTGCTTATTGCCCCGTATGACTTAAATACTGTTGAGTTCACTCGGTTCGCAAAACATTTTCTCGACTAGAAAAGTCTACAGGTTGAACTTGTCCGACGGAATCTCCCCCGAAAGGCGGCGAAATGGTGGCAAGCGTAGACGATCTTGTCATTGCCAGCGAGGGACCTCTGCTGAGCAAGGAGGAACTGGATGAGCTTATCGTCCGCGCACAACAGAAAGTGGCGGAGAAGTACGCAACACTCAAGTGAGTGCAGAACTGCGGCCACGACCGAGGGCGAGCTGGAACGGTACTCTAGAATGAGAGGCAGTAGAGAGGAGGGGGGTGAGGGTTAAGTTGGTCGATTGCCTGTCATTGTGAGTGTTTCTTCAAGCACCCGTTCGGAGGAATTTCCTTTCCATTAAGGAATGGATACTCCACGCGGGGAGAGTGATGAGCCCGGGAGAATGGGACGGAATTTTCCGTGGATATGGGATGGTAGAAAATGGGCAAAACATTTGGTAGAGGCGACGGGGGCGAAGACGGAGCACGATTGGAATGCCTGGACAATGCCGTGGAAGGAGAACATTCCAAGAACGAAAATTGGCTCACGTTTATTTTCTCGCCGCGCGCGAGAAGGGACGAAACATTCTGGCTCCTTGAGCAGTGGAGGGCTCGATTCGAGTGCGACAGGGCGTGAAAGGCGTCGTTGCAAATGAAAGCTGTCGGAAGCGTGTGTTTCTACATGCTATTTTGGAGCGTGTCATATTACTGTGCACACACACTTGCAGCCCCGTTTCTCCCCCACGTCCGGCGACATGGTTGCGCTGAGCGGTCCAAATACAAACCGATTTATTACTCAGCGGGGAAAACGGAACAGCTCGCGACTATTGTAGTGTGAATTGCTGCGTCACCTCACAGGCCGTTGGCACTACTGTACGGGCCTCGTTCTGACCGCAATCATAATCCCGTTGGGAAGGGGGTAAGGGCTTAGACTATTGCCTGCAGGAGTTGGTTGAAATCGAACTACAGTAACGCGCGTCAGTTTCTGGAAAATTCATTCTTGGGAAAGCCACTTGCAGAAGGGCGGAAAAACGTTCGCATAGGTAGAGTACAGCCCAGTTTCCGCGTCGACGTTTCTCGATGGATGGGCTTGATATGTGACGGCTCTAAGCTGTGCTCGTTTTCCCTCCGCGCTGACCCATTTTCCTCAGCGCGGATCCATCGTGTGACTCCAATCGATCACCTGATTGCGTGGACAGGTACGAGGGGCGGGAGCCCCGCTGGCCGACATGGTGAGTGAAACGGTAAAGATTTTTCATGCTTTGAACTGCACGTGTGTGCGTCAGGTTCGCCGGCCTAGAAGAAATGAGAGAATACAGCGAAAACATGTGGTAGATTTTTCGCGTTGGGGGAGTTGAAGAGAATGGAAACCGTGTTATGAAGTTTTGCGTTCATTGTGTTGTTGTGGTTGTTCGGGATCGCAGGAAGGCGAAGTTGCTACAATACTACTTTGTTTGATCAGCACCCTTTATGGATAGAGTCACTCCAAGCTGATTCTGACGAGAAAGCCAACGGGCGTGCGCCTCAATTAGCCCCGTTTCTGACGTGAACGAATACGCTGCCGGTGTGCGTCGCTGGTGTTCGGTGGTCGGGGTAGGGCCGGGCGCGCCTCAATGAAGCAGTCGCTGTCACTGATATTCACCGATATCCTTCCTTGACGAAGAATTTTCGCCTCGCTTTACACGAGGCGTGGGGTTCTGGTAGTGACCTCCTTACAACATTGCTTGTACGTATGTACATTTCGCAGAGCTTTAACAGGGTCCAAGAATTCGCGTGGCACCTGGTGGTGGTAACGACCTTGAGATTCATTTCACTGGCAGGTTTTTCTATTTTCCTTTAAGCAACGTAGGGCCTGGGTCCTACCGAGCCCCCTTGGCGTTCGGGGAGCTTACGATCCCTCCCTTGCGAGGTCATCAATTGCTGTCACCCGCAAGCAAGGACATTCGGTCGAAGCTGACGCGAGTCTTGTGGTCCTTGCCAGGTCCACTGCGGTGAACAGCGCCAAGAGGTTTCTCAACGCGCTAAGGCTGCTGGTGGTGCTGGTGTCCTTCCACGTGATGCTCGTATGGGTGTTGTGCCGGTACTACTCCCAGTATCAACGATGCGCCGGGGACCCAGCGCCTTTCGATTCAGTGATGACGTGCTTTTTCTTTCGCCTCGAAGGTAAACAACGGGGTGGTCAATCGCGTTCCTCACTTTTGCAAGCATATGGTGTTCAGCGGCTGCTGTGTGTATCGTCTGTTTACTTTTTCTCCAAGCAAGGTGTAGCCGGCAATAATTGGATGGAAGCTGGAGGAGACACGCGGGAACTCGAGGCAATAAAGAACCCACCGCGGCAACCACCGATAGACGCGCGGAGGGCTATCCACATTTGTGCTCCACAACTAACTGTCGGTGACAGTCTTTAACAAACATGAGCGAAGGGGGTACGAGTTCACTGCCATATTCACTTTCATACTCATTCCACGGTAGCCCACCTCCTTGGTCGTTGTCAACAGAAATCTTGGCACCGACGGTCCGCAGTTCGCGAAAATCAGTTATCATCGTGTAAATGGAGCCGGTGGGCACCAACAGCAAAACGTGTGGAAGCTAGCAACCTTGATGCTCATGGACTATTCACGAACGCTTTGACCCCGTTGGATGCGAACATATTTTGCAGATTGATCCCCACCAGCTCCGAAAACAACGGAAACTCCCTTCCTGGTGCATGGAGATGACTTCAACCTAGAGCCGAATAGTCTAGTCTTCTCAGGGCCGTTGAAGGATCGCCGGGCAATGCGGGGATGGGACAAGCAGGAGGCGTTTCAACCTTGACACTGAGGACGGGCTTGGGTTGAAGGCCGTCGTCGTCGTCGTCGTCGTCGTCGATTTCGGTGTTTGTTGTGGTCATTGTTTTCGAGCTGATTACATTGGTGGCGGTGCTGTTGTCAGAGTAAGTGATGCGTTGGGCCTCAATCCGAATCGTCTGGAGAGAACCAAAGAATACCGATATTGTCAAGCTTCGACGGGTTTAGCATTCGGCGCGCGTTGGTATGGACCACAATCAATCTTTCTCAACACTTTCGAGACATGATTGCGCGGTTCTTGTCAACCACCAGAGGGCTCGTTTCTTGGGTACCATGGCCAAACAGATATTTCGTGGTCGGGTAGATAGAAGACATTTCCGACGGTTACAACAGACATAGCTACGGTAGGCAACAACACGAAGCCCGCTCGTCGGAAGTTCCTGCGAGTGTTTACCTACACCTACCCTCGGATTACAACTGTTTTATGGACAATGTTGCTTGAAAGCCACCCCGCATGGGTTCAACTTCACAGCGATCGTTTAGACTCAACACCCGCGAAGGTCTGGCAGCGGCCTTGTGGTCGCCTGCGTTCATGTGTCAGGCGATGAACTCATGAATGCATGCGGAGCACCTCGCTTGTGTTTGTGGGCGATGTAACGACCGCATGGATGCTGTGAAACTACGCGAAAGAAACCTTTGAGTGGCGGGGCAACGTCCACCGAGACCGGGTTCACCGGGAAGGGCCGCATTTCCTCGGGTTCGCGGGAATTTTTCGCCAAGAAAAGCACCACGTGTCACCAGATGTGTTGTGCTGTCTGCGGGCGCTTGAATAGCTCTGTAGGACAAGCACGGCCACCGACGGCTTCATTTCGTCGATATATCACGTCCGATTTCGATCTCTTCTACAACAATCATCCTCGATAAATTGGAATTCCGGCTTCGACACGCTGAAACAGCAGGAAGACCCACACTCGTGTGGCGAAAACGACAAAAAACACATCGAGCCTGTCGTTGCCAACTCATTTCATTTGAGCAAGCAAGCTCCACAACAAATCGAAGCACGAGTGCCCTGATTTCACTGGGACCACACGGTTGGAGAGCGCAGAGGTATATGTTCAAAGCAGCTCACGCCAAGACGTGAGACAACTCATCTGACGGCATCATCCGGCAGATTGTAGCACAGAAAGAGTGGACTTGGTTCACGACACATACTTTCGTTCCAACGCCAGCCCACAGAAGACATTCAGCTGCTCGGCAGATCTTCCTCATACCAAACACTCAAGCTATCGTCGGCTCTTGCGCGTCTTGTTCCTCGTCACACTCCAAACAGCATCTCCTCTCTCTCACACACACATACAAACCTGCCCGTGGCATTCGGTCCCTCGACATCCATACATAGGTCAGCAGCTACTTGCTCAGGTACTGACTCACTACAGCAGTGCGAAACAGATTATTCCCATCCACGGCATCAATGTCGAACAAACGAACATCACACGACACGATCAACCACGGCATGAGTCGTCCGTCTCGTGAACAATCATGGGCGTTGAAAGGGTAGAGCAACGGTTATTCCCCACACGCCCAGCGTCTCCTTGCGCCCTTCCCTACACGCCAGATTCATGTCATCCTCAGTAAGCCATGTATCCGTTTAACAGCCACCGCGCAGGCGGAGGACAAGGTGCAGGGTCGACTCCTTCTGGATGTTGTAGTCCGACAGGGTGCGGCCGTCCTCCAGCTGCTTGCCGGCGAAGATCAGACGCTGCTGGTCCGGGGGGATGCCCTCCTTGTCCTGGATCTTCTGCTTCACGCCGTCGATCGTGTCGGATGGCTCCACGTCGAGAGTGATCGTCTTGCCCGTGAGGGTCTTGACGAAGATCTGCATGCCGCCACGCAGGCGGAGCACCAGGTGCAGGGTCGACTCCTTCTGGATGTTGTAGTCCGAAAGGGTGCGGCCGTCCTCCAGCTGCTTGCCGGCGAAGATCAGACGCTGCTGGTCCGGGGGGATGCCCTCCTTGTCCTGGATCTTCTGCTTCACGCCGTCGATCGTGTCGGAAGGCTCCACGTCGAGAGTGATCGTCTTGCCCGTGAGGGTCTTGACGAAGATCTGCATGCCGCCACGCAGGCGGAGCACCAGGTGCAGGGTCGACTCCTTCTGGATGTTGTAGTCCGAAAGGGTGCGGCCGTCCTCCAGCTGCTTGCCGGCGAAGATCAGACGCTGCTGGTCCGGGGGGATGCCCTCCTTGTCCTGGATCTTCTGCTTCACGCCGTCGATCGTGTCGGATGGCTCCACGTCGAGAGTGATCGTCTTGCCCGTGAGGGTCTTGACGAAGATCTGCATGCCGCCACGCAGGCGGAGCACCAGGTGAAGGGTCGACTCCTTCTGGATGTTGTAGTCCGACAGGGTGCGGCCGTCCTCCAGCTGCTTGCCGGCGAAGATCAGACGCTGCTGGTCCGGGGGGATGCCCTCCTTGTCCTGGATCTTCTGCTTCACGCCGTCGATCGTGTCGGAAGGCTCCACGTCGAGAGTGATCGTCTTGCCCGTGAGGGTCTTGACGAAGATCTGCATGCCGCCACGCAGGCGGAGCACCAGGTGAAGGGTAGACTCCTGTGCAAGCGAAAGCAAGAGAGAGGAAACAAGCAACAGAGAGGTTGAGTTGGGGTGACACAACTGCTTCCCTCGATGCCCTTGAAGAGCCGCACGTTTGCTTACTCGTGGTCGTATCAACGCCCCTATTGCTGCTCCAAGGTTTCGTGCGTCAATGGAATCCCTCCAATGCCTCACAACTTTAAACCCTATTCTTCATGCGAGGCGGCCTTTCTCATCGACCAAGAGAGAGGGGGCTGAACTCTTCACATGTCAAAGCAAAAGTCGTCAACAACCGGTCATTACCAGTACCCAATCAAGACAGGAGACAAGGACGCCCTCGACAAGAACATGCTCAACACACCTTCTGGATGTTGTAGTCCGACAGGGTGCGGCCGTCCTCCAGCTGCTTGCCGGCGAAGATCAGACGCTGCTGGTCCGGGGGGATGCCCTCCTTGTCCTGGATCTTCTGCTTCACGCCGTCGATCGTGTCGGAAGGCTCCACGTCGAGAGTGATCGTCTTGCCCGTGAGGGTCTTGACGAAGATCTGCATGCCGCCACGCAGGCGGAGCACCAGGTGGAGGGTCGACTCCTTCTGGATGTTGTAGTCCGAAAGGGTGCGGCCGTCCTCCAGCTGCTTGCCGGCGAAGATCAGACGCTGCTGGTCCGGGGGGATGCCCTCCTTGTCCTGGATCTTCTGCTTCACGCCGTCGATCGTGTCGGATGGCTCCACGTCGAGAGTGATCGTCTTGCCCGTGAGGGTCTTGACGAAGATCTGCATGCCGCCACGCAGGCGGAGCACCAGGTGAAGGGTAGACTCCTGTGCAAGCGAAAGAAACGAGCAGAGACGGACCACGGCAAAAAAAAGAAAGGTTAGTTGGGGTGTACCTGCAGTTTCCTCAAATACCAAACTGTGCCGCGCGTTTGCGCACTCAGATGATTATCGCCAGCAACATCACTCCACCCTAAAGGGTCAAAATTTCGCGCACCACTACAAGCACTTCATGATTCTCGCCCTTCTGCACTGCGCCTGCTTGTATCTAATGTTTCGCCAAAAAAAGAGAGAACGCAACTCGCATTACACATGGATCACACAAGGTTACGACTCGAAGGGAACATGCTCATTGGGAACTCGTTGTCACGCTCATTATCGATACCGCCATTCCTTTCCATCGCTGACTCTCCCTGACTATTACTACAAAAACCCACACAATTCGTGAAAAGCGACAAAAGTAGTCCGATTCTTAATTCTGATCAGAACCGGTCATGAGTAAGCGAGAGAATCCAAGAGCGCGCACTCGACAAAACTCGGCTCAACGCACCTTCTGGATGTTGTAGTCCGAAAGGGTGCGGCCGTCCTCCAGCTGCTTGCCGGCGAAGATCAGACGCTGCTGGTCCGGGGGGATGCCCTCCTTGTCCTGGATCTTCTGCTTCACGCCGTCGATCGTGTCGGAAGGCTCCACGTCGAGAGTGATCGTCTTACCCGTGAGGGTCTTGACGAAGATCTGCATGCCGCCACGCAGGCGGAGCACCAAGTGGAGGGTAGACTCCTGCGCAATCGAAAAGAACCAGAAAGGGACAAAAAAAATTAGAGAAGACAGAGGTGAGTTGAAGGTGACAGACCGTCCTTCCTCAAATTTTTTTAAAACACACAAGCGTTTTTTGTAACTTGCATGATATATTCGCCAGCACGACACTCAACGGTTGTCATAAGATGTCGTGCGCCCATCGAATTCCTTAACAAGTCATACTTGACTTGACTCGTCTGCGTCTGCATGGGCAAACCGCAAGCCTTCGTCAACGAAGCGAGTATGGCTAGACACGCTCAGTTTCCTTGGTACAGCTGGCCATATTTATCGCCGATTCCAGAAGGACGGCTCTCCTGCTTCACCTCATGGCACCACAACAGTCCTACAACTGGGTCAAGGCGAACAAAGCAAACAACCGGCTGCAGCAAAAAACGTCTGCGAGGACGTACTCCGCTCAACGCACCTTCTGGATGTTGTAGTCCGACAGCGTGCGGCCGTCCTCCAGCTGCTTGCCCGCGAAGATCAGACGTTGCTGGTCGGGGGGGATACCCTCCTTGTCCTGGATCTTCTGCTTCACGCCGTCGATCGTGTCAGAAGGCTCGACGTCGAGGGTGATGGTCTTACCCGTGAGGGTCTTGACAAAGATCTGCAGATTTTGAGCAAAAATACAAGTTCGTTAGAATAGTAAACATTTGATGCTGTTGCGTACACCAGCTGCGTTGGTTTAAACGGCGCATCCTTATCGCAAGGTCGCAGGTACATGCACGAATGTCAAGGACCTGTATGTACGAGACCATGCCGTGGACAAGGGTTGCCTCAAACACGTATGCCAAACTATAAGGACCGTACACAGCTGTTTCGCTTCCATATTCCCAAAAATCGACGTTGCCTATTTCCTGGAACTCGTTCCAATTTTTTGGGTGCCAGTAGTTGACAATTTCCATGTTTTTTCCCTCGGCCGCAAATCGATATTCTTGAGTCTACGGATTTTTGGACATTTGGCATTTGGAAGCAAAAAGCTGTTTGTATTGAAAACGGCCCTCTCCTGGTGCCGTTTCATGTACACATCAGTTCTCTCGTCATCACACGAAACCAAGACCCTGCTTCGGCACACCCATAAAATCTACTGGTATGCATACAGTAGTAGATCGGATCGAGGGGAGAAGGAACAGGATAGCGCACCGGAAACTACAGGCCAGAGGATGGGCAAGCAGGCGCGCATTAGTACCTGTTACTGGTTGTGTGGGAAGAACCAAAATAAAACCCATCAAACCAACATGGGGAATCTAGGCAATTTTCTAGAAAATCGATTGATGATGGTATCCTTGAGCCTTCTCGCCTGCCGTCTTTCGAAAATATGTATCCAATCACTTTAAGGACTGGTACCCGATGAAGGGCATGTGTCGATAAAGTGCTTTTGCAGCGAGGGGCGTGTGTGGGAAGAACGTCTGGGGTTTCACTTACACCGTAGGTACGCACATTACTTTGTGTACATCGAAGGTATTTCATCAGTCGTCCAATCTGCAGCATTTCGTTTTGAGCAATACTACAAGTTTCGTCGAACATGCGACGGTGGCGCGTTTAGTTCAACATGGGTTGGGCTTATGGGGGAGTAACAGGACTGGCCCGTGAAACTAAGCCTTGATCGAGGGGAACAACAACATGCATCAGAGGATAAGCGTTTGGTTGGGGGACAGGGTGCACAAGAAGAGCTGCTGACAGCAGGTGCAAAGCAGGTGCAAAAGTGCAAAATGGGTGACGCGTCACCCGATTGTTGGAAAAAAAAAGAGAAGAAACAGATTCGAGGAGGGCCGGGGATAAACCGAAGACAAGAGAGGCTGGGTGATGGGGCTCCAGGGCAGATACGTGGGGTACGGCATGTCACCCATGAACACTACAGCAGCGTGTATTCTGTCACTACAGCAGTACTTGCTGTGCGACGACAGAAGACGGAAACAGCGGCGCTCTCCTTCAAGCGCAGGAAGGCGGCGAGATCGGCCAAATTCGTTTCAAATCATTCGGGCGGGTGTGTCTCTGCTCGCCCTTGATGCGGATGCCCGCGTACCCGGCTCTCTACGAGACCGCAGGTGGCGGCACCGTATAGGTAGCCCCACTAGACAAGACTTTTGTAATTTTTGGGGCTCATGGGCTCGTCCGTCCGGCGCTTGAACTTGCTTGAGCCGACGGCGTGGGCGTGTGTGGAAAGTCTGAAAAATGGGTGTCAGTAGACTTCAACAAACAACAAAACAACCAACTTTGTGGGGAAAAGATCTTCTCAAAGTGCTCCAGAAGAGGGTGTAGGGTGGACTCGCCTGCATGGTTCTTGCGAGATGTCTCGGGGTGTCTTCGCGGGTAGCTGGTGTGGGCGGTTGGTGGAGAGCCGGAGAGAGTGAACGAGGGGAAGAGGATGTTGTGGCACGTGGTGGGCGGCGGGCGGGGCTTCGCGGGGTCCCCACAGATAAAACTACGTCTATCCCTTGATTAGGGATCCTGATGGCGTATGCCCGCAGAACGTTGCGTGGGGTTTGTTCTCGACCTCCTTTGTCTCGACCCCTCGACGACACAAGGACGCGCTGTGGTGCGAAAATATGGCTAGTGAGGATCGGCCTGGGGATATCCAAAGGCAGCAGTCCAATTGGGCGGACGAGATCAAGCAGAGAGACCATCCAACAACGAGAGACGATGAGGTATGACCGCTGCATCCGAAATCAGTAGCGGTGCAACTTGGCGCAGTCGTGCACTGCCCGGCAGAACAACCCGGCTGCGGTTGCCATCATACGCTACAGGCGCTCTCACTGCGACCGAGCCCAGTTCCTGATGTGTACCCGCACTGTTTAAGCCTCAGAGTCTTGACGATTATCCCTTCCTGTAGCTCGCTTCCAACGCGTGCCGCTCCCAGAAACGTGCGAGCTCAATCGGTCGAGCGAAATGCTGACTCTGTTCACCTTCCCTGCGAACGTACTTTCCAGAAGGTTGCATGTCTTCGCCGCCCTTCGTGATAATGTAAAACACCAACGCTGGGTGGGGTACGATGCGGTAGCTGAGACTGGAGTACAGGCGCAGCTAGCGTGGCGGGGGGAGGTTGCCCCGTACCTTTCTCTGCGTGTGTACTGCTGTAGCGTCAATATTGCTCAGCTGTCTTTGCGGCTGCCGTGTCTATTGACTACTCCGTCAAATGAATGCTCTCGTCAGCGGGTTGACCCCACAGAAAATACCCGTCGGCGCTGTCTCGACTCGCTAATCCTCTCCGTCCCAGCGTGTAGAGATGCGAGGGTCCATTTCGGACCGCAGTACACAAGGAACATCAGCGCATGAATACCATTGATCGTCGTCGCTACGCCAAAACTGTCCACCACCTCGCGACCCACCCATCCCCCGCCCCCCTCCCTCCCCACCACCACGCAATGGCCGATTAAGACTGCTGGTACATCTGCCAATGCGGAAGGGCAGGCCGGCGGCGGGGAGCTTTCCGACCTCATTAGGACGGTCTCGACCATCGAGTCCCAGGTGCGTGCGGGTGGCATCAACGCACCGAAGTATGCAGCCGTCTGATAGGAGACAGGCCGTTGTTACAAATGCTGCATCACAACGTGTTTGGCTGGATCAGGGCTTCGTCATACCTGCAATGCGTTGACCGTAACAGTCGCTCGAGTTCAACATCACGGAAGTCTGTTGTTTTTGGCCTTCTTTCCGGGCCTCTGTTTCGAGCCCGATGGAGGAAGAAAACTATCTTTGGTAACTTGTACCGTGAGATTGGGGGCGTGTCTACGATTGTGAGTGCCATTGTGTTCTTCGGAATACCGTCGGCTGAGTTGGTCGAGCAGCAATAGCGCCAGCGCTAGCCGCACGAAAACACCGAACGATTCGCATCATAGTGGGCGGTATGTCGGCGGGGTGAGCAGGGAGCGTCCGGATTCAGCGTGGTGGCACACGAAGAGGGCCGAACTACAGTACCGCTGGTTGCAACACCTACCGCACCCCTTTAGACCGATTTTCAAAGCCTGAGAACTCTGCAGAAGCAGCAGTGACGGTGCCAAGAACGGGGGCCATGGAACCATCCCGTCGAGAGCGTTCGAAAACGTGTCGTTTGATGTGAGCGTCCTCTTCGTCGCAGAGAATACTCGAGCTCTATCAATCGGTCCAGGGGGCGTGTTATCTTACGTCATGCCACCTACGGCACACTCCGCGGCTTTCGAAGGTTGCCGGCCGCACCCGCACCAGGGCCGCCGCCGGCGGCGGCGTACCCAAGGATTGTCGACCGACCCATCACATGCTGAGGAAGCTGAAACAGGCTGACAGGAATAGGTTTTAGTGGTCATTCGGCGCCTTATTCTCCAAGCCAAAGGGGTTCGCCCGCCGCTGGAACCCCGCTCCGCCTGTTATTGGCATTTGTCCAGCCGATAGTGTCTTCTCTTCCCCCTTGTCTGCCGCGTTGCCAGCCCTATGCTAGATGGGTTTGGTCTCTTGTGGTGTTTGGGAACAAACCCCTCCTATGTGGGCGAACGCGTGAGTGTTTTCTAGAACTTCATTTGCTATTGACAGCCGGTGGGCGGTTGTAGTTAGCGGTGAAACGAGGAGAAACAACGGAAAATAATAAGAACCATGCGAGAGAGGACGGTTCCCGCTTTTTCACAAGTACACGTTTGTGATGTGTGTCTTTCGATCAATCTTGAGCCACCGAGATGAACACGGCATCCCTCGCACCTGTGTTGTTGTTGTGTTTTTGTTGTTGCATCAGGTGGGGTCGTTAGAGGAAGCCATGGATCCTCGGGGATCACTGACCGAGCTTGCGGGGGCCTACGGCCGACAGGTGAGGGTGCGGTACCCCCAAGACACGGGATCATTCCTAAGACACGACTCTCTCTCTCTCTCTCTCTCTCTCTCTCTCTCTCTCTCTCTCTCTCTCTCTCTGTGTGTGTCTATCTGTCTGTCTGTTTGGTTGCCTCTCCTCTCTCTCTTGTTTCTCTCTCTTGCCTCTCTCCCTTTCTACGTATTCCCATTAGTTGCCGGTGCTTTGCAGCAAGGATTTCCACCTACAGTAGATCGTCTCACCGTCTTTCCTTTCTCGAAGGGAGAGAAGCTTAAGCTCCGATCCCTTCGTTATTTTTCTTGAAGAGAAGAAGGTTGAACAGCAACAGGATGTGCGTTGTTGTTTGGCTGGTCTCTCTTTGTCGTGACTGAGACTATCACGGGGGAGCCACCGTAACCGCGGCCTGCGTTTCATGTTTCCAAGCGCTTTATTTCTGAAGGACCAAGGTTTTCTTGCCAATACTGAACGGAACGTGGTTTGAGACCCCTGTAGGAGTTCTTTCCCACGCCACCCTGGTCTTGGTACTTGTAACGCGACCTATTTCGGCACTACCCGCGGGACTCGTGATCTCGCTGGATGAACTGGAAAAATGTCGGATGTTTCGTAAGCCACCATTCGCGAAGATTTTGCTCAGCGGGTCGATGTGCGAAATCTTGTTCTGTCAGTGCTGTTCGAGAGGAGCACGTTGTACAAGCCCACCCTAACAAATCGCGCTTGATGCGTGGTATATATGCTGACGTGATGATGACGTTATCTCTTTCAGGGTTACGAGTCCCTGGGGTCCATGCTGGGGCAGGCTCGAACGGCGACGTCCGAAGTGGCAGAGAGAGTGCAGGTGGGGGATTGTTGTTGTCTTCGTTGTTGTTGCTGTTGGTGTGGGTTGTTTGTAACGGTCGTTGTCCTTTTTTCTGTCCCCTGCCCCTCTACTCTCGTTCCTGGTATCCATCTACCCCTCATATCCATGGCAACACTCGTTGCAGTCGTCACACCGCACACGACATGTGTCAGAGAATCAGAAAAAAGCCCTTCGTACTTCGTCTAATTTTTTGGAAAAAGGAGCTCGGATGCATATGTTACCCTACCTTCACACATGTAGCGTGGAGTTTAGGTACCCATATATCACTTCGACTTCCCGGAACCCCTCCTTAGTCTTCTTCGACTACATGTATTTATCCGGTTTAACGCGGCCCTTCTATCTCCTCTTCGATTTTTCGTTGTATGTGGCGCCCTTTTTGGGGTATGTATCTGGAGCGTGACCACAGAAGGGGCCCGCTTCAGCTGGACCACTGCGGGGATGTTTGGAAGGGTTGCCAATACTTTGGTAACCTCTGTCGTGTCTGCTGCCATGTTTTATTGAGCGGGGTCGATCTGTTCGTCGCCATTGCCGTTCCCAGACGCTCTCGGGACAGGAGGACGTCGAGGTGCCACATGAAGTTCGCCAGCGGAGCGACAATCTCCTGGAGAGGATGAAGCGAGTCTGGCTCGCGCACACGGCACGGTGCCCCCCGCAAGAACTGGGTGCGAGTTTCCCGTGTTTCCTTTGCGTGGTTAGCTTGCACCTACTTCTACACCAAACACGGATCCATCTCTGTATTCTCAGGCTTTATGACTCCAGGATATAATTCGTAAGTCGTTAATATATTCCATACCTACCTGTGCTTTTTTTTTGTGGTAAGCGCTTGTTGATCGATTTTTCCATTGCTTTGTCGGCTTTCGCAAAGACTTGGAGGGGGTACAGCAGTCTGGACCCCCTCCCGACACAACCTGCTCCGTCCTGACATGTGCATTACAACCTCCCCGCCGCATACGCCCCCCCCCCCCCGAAAAAACACCAGAACGACGGTTGTCTCGGGAGCCGTCCTTCTCGGTCCCTCAACCCACTTCCTTTGCCGGGAGTGATTCTTCCAGCACCGCTGCCGTTGGCGCCGGCACGTCCCCGGCGGGCGTCCCCGCCGTGCCCACGCCATCTGCGTCGCCCCCGCCTGCTGGGTCCCCGGCCGGGCCGGGTCACACCCCCCGCCGGCAGGCCTCGGGGGGCTCCGCAGCGGAGATGGTGGTCGGGGGCAGGCCCCTGACCCGGACGGCCACCCTGGAAGACGTCATCAACGAGGCCGACGAGCGGGAAGAAGTGCACCGGCGGCAGCAGCAGCAGCAAGACGCCGCCGAAAGCGGCGGCGGTCGTGGTTTCGGCGACGGCGGGGATGATAGCGCGATGCGGGAAGCCCGTCCCGCGAATGACGAGCGGGGGATACCCGGGGTGGCGGACGGAGGAGGTGGGATTGACTCACGGTGTGTTGGTCGCGAGCGGGTGGCCTTTGGTTGACGGCCTTTGGTTGACGTAGGGTTGCCAAACACAGCAGGTTGTTCGTGGGTGGGTCCGGGGGGTCACGAAGAGAGTTGATCGGGAATCGGTAGTTGAGGTGGGTGGGGGGGATTCAAAAGGCCTCCCTGCTCTCTTTTGCCGTGCTTGTACAACAGGCAAATGCCCAGTCGGTGGGAAAACCGACCTGCCCTCGTGTTTCCCCCGCGCCCTTCTTTCTTCCAGCGAGAATTGCGTTTGTGGAGGAAATTGCCGAGTACATGTTCCGAGCTATTCGCGTTGAGAGTGGATCGCGTCTTGTCCCTGCGCCGCCACGTTGCGTTTTCGAGCTCGTTGAGAGCATGCATATGATAGCGACGCGCACGGACGTAGGTGCCCAGAGAGAACGAACCTGCTGTCCCCAAACCCACGATGTTGTTTTTGGTGGGAACGGAAAATTGTCTTCTCTTTGTCTTCCAGCGCCACCTCTTCCTGTCAATTTGTACTCGGGAGTACACATTATTTGTTGAGTCTACATGTACCAAAAAGTAGAGGCTGAGTTTGCGGGTCAGCGGCCCTGCCTACACCCCACCAAAGTGCGCTTCACAGCAACGACGGCTTTCTAAGGGTATTGCCACCTCCTCCTTCGCTCGCACGTACGCACTGATACGCCCTTTATCTCTTCCATCCCCGTCACCTTGCTGTACCCCACGATGAGGATTCGGCGGCGATGCGCCTTCATATGTTCCAAAACCCCACCCCACCCTCTCGTACCCCTTGTTCAGGATTCGGTGGTGACCATCCCGGAGGGAGGCATTCGGAGACCCTCTCTACGATGACTGCTGCCACTGCCACTGAGGGGCAAGGGTCAGACGGAGGAACAGTTGCGTTGGCGTCACCGATGGAGGTGGAGGCGTCGGCAACCTCGGCGGGGGCTCCGCAGGATCAGGTGGCCGGGGAAGGGGGGGTCGGGGTGTTCTCGTTCGGGCGGGGGGATCTCGGAGCCCTGCTGCACTCGGACGATGCGGACCACTCGGCTAAGGAAGGCCCCGTGGTGGTCAAGAACCACCGGTCCGTGCTACAGGTGCGCGCGTGCTTCATTCCTATTGTTGAGGGGAAGATGTGGTTGCTTATGTTTCCGCCGCTGTAGGTTTTTCTGGGGTAGGTTTGTTGTTGTTGCTGTCGTCGTCCTTGTTGTCGTTATGGTTGCTGTTGTGTTGTTGTGTTGTTGTCGGTGTTCGAGATCGGCGTGTCTTGGCGGTCAATTGGCCCAAGTCCTCCGTTCACACCGCGCCGACGGCGGCCCCACAAGCCTACGCCATGGGCCATGTCAGCAACCACAGCAGCAAGCAGACCATGATCCACACACGCCACCTCCTTCCGGCGGAAAGATCCACACAACGAAACATGCACCACACCGACCGCCTCGCCACTTTTCAGACCACGCGCACAGAAGTCACCGTCACGCTTTGACCCAGAGACCTCGCCCCGCGGCACCGGTTACCTGACCCACATACCCCTTGCCCCTCCAGGTGTCCACCTCGCTGTTCCACACCATGGCCGTGACCGCTTCGGGCGAGATCCTAGGCTGCGGCCAGAACGACGAGGGGCAGGTCCGGCCCGATCTCCTGACGGAGGCGTTCTTGCCGCGGCCGTCCCTGGTGGAGCCCGTGCTCTCCCATCGTATCACCCAGGCAAGGCGCCTTGAGCGGTGGGATTGGTGACTTTTGGGGGCGGTTCCTTCTCGCAGGCTCGCGTGTGTGTGTTCGGGCGCCGATCGAGCGACGTCCCGACGGTGTGAAAATGTCGGTTTCGTACATAGCGGGACGAAACGCAACAGAGAGGCCGGTTGTTTTTGCCTGTCGTCGTCTCCATCTTTTGTTGGGTCTTTGCTGTGGGTTGTCGCGCCCGCAGCACTGGAGGCACAGGGGTTGGGACCGGTCCAGGCCCGATTTTGAACGGACCGCTTGTTTGCCTCGAGAGGTGCTGTGCTTCCGTTTATTTCGTCTGATTCTTCTTCATGCGAGAAAGCATGACACTACTCTTCAGCGCTTGTTTTTGTTTGCAACGTTTGGTTCTGTTTGCTTGCCTCTATTGTTTGTGTGCTTCCGTGTTCGGGGGCAAATGGGCTCTACTCCCGTCTTAGGTTCGCGCTGAGTCGGGGCGCGACAAGGTCTCACCGACGTTGACAGGTGCAATACTTATTTTGTGAAGCAAGCTCGCTAGCCCCCTGCCCTGGTGCTGCCGCGGCCGTACCCTTGTGAAGCAACCGCCCCCGACCCTGCGCGTGTGGTTCTGCGGTTTGCTCCAGGTGGCCTGTGGGCTGTACCACACGGTGTGCGCAACGGCCTCCGGCATGGCCATGTCGTGGGGGGGAAATGAGTCCGGACAGGTGCGCGAGAGATACGTACGCACAAGAAGGGACCAAGTGGCGAGGGGGGAGTGACGGGGAGAGAGATATGTATAGGGAGGTAAAGGGAGAGAGAGATAGAGAGAGACAAAGAGAGAGAGAGACCGCGATGAAGAAGGCAGACCTCCGCGTAAGTTTCGAGTATGTAGACCCTGCTGTCCGTCCACCCCATACATACACAGCAGCTGGTATTGTTTGGATTCTTCTCTCACAGCCTGTTTCAGCGCGAAAACCTCACCACACCGTTTTCACGCCTGTGTTCCCCCGCTGATGGGTTCTTTCGTGTCTTCGCCGTTTCCCCCCTACCCGGCGTACGCTCTTTTTCCCCCTGTTCCGCACGCAGCTCGGACACAGCGGGGAGATCACACGGACCGTGCGCCCCATGGTGGTCCAGGTATGACACGGTTCGAGAGAGATGGAATGCGTTCCTAGAATTTGGCCTCTGGGAGTGTCTCGGATATGGAAAGTATGTGTAGTTGTGTCTGGAGCTTTTTTTTATTTTATTACGCCGTTTGTTCATGTCTCGGTGTCTTGTTGGCCATGCTTGGTCGGAAGCCTGCGTATGTGCATTTGTCCTCCCTCAAGGCCACACGGTCCGAGCCGAGCGCCCCCTTCGTCTCACGAATCACGCGAGTGGTCGCATTCCGGGCGGACAAAATTGCGCTTCCACTCGAGTGGGGGGAGGGGGGGGGGGGGGGGGGGCGGTCGCGCGGAGGGGGCTTTAAAAAAAGACACTGTTCTTGTGTGGTATTGTTCGTTTTTGGTGCTGCTAAATGATGGGCCGGCTGCCCAATTGCGATACCCGTCTGGTGGCCTGTGCGTGTGTGTAACGGACAATCAGTGAAGTGAAACCGGAGGGGTTTCGCTTGAACATGAATGAACCCGCAAATACTGGTAGACAATTCCTCTATCGAACGAGGGGTAAGCCTTTCCATGTTCACTTCGCTCATCTTCGGGATAAGTGTGTCTTTTTTCCAGGTCACCGGGGCGGGACAATCGTGGTCGTCGAGACGGCGCGCTTCGAGAGTTGCATGCGGCGATCTCTTCACGCTCATCCTCACCTCTCGGGCCGAGGTGTGTATGCGTGTGTGCGTGTTTGGGTATGTTCTTTTTGTTGGATCGAGCGCGTGTGTGCGTGTCGGATTATCGTGTGCGTCCACCGCGCTAGCCAGCTGACCAATCAGTTGGAAGCGCTGACAATCGGCTGACAAGGTATGTGTGTTTGGTTTTACTGTAAGCAAAGCGCGGCTCTAGCTGGCTGACCAAAGAAGAGGGTGTTCGTGTGTCTTTGCTGTTTGGGTCGACCGCGTTAACCAGCTGACCAATGAAAATGCTTGGTCTCAGTGCGGCTGTATTATGTGCGCGCGTGTGTAGTGTTTTCATCAACCACGCTCAGCGGCTGACCAATGGCATAGAGCCTCAGTCTCAGCGCGGCTATAAACGGACAACTCTTCCAAAGGTCACGATCTAAATGATAACACAAAAACAACGGACTGTCATCTGATATTAGGAGCCCACTCAGTTAGGCTAATCTCCGGATTGGAGACAGAAAAGGGCAACAGATGCAGAGAAAATCACCCTACTGAGGTTTCTACTTACTCCTCACGTTGGTTTGACTCTGTCGTAAATTGTTGCTCGTTCTATTAGTCATTCTCCTTTGCGTTTTCGTGCTCTTTCCTGCTTGCAGTATTTTCGGGCAGTTCTCTATCCCTTCGGCGTTATTCCGCACGTTTACTGGGTTTCAATTTCGACTCTCTTCCGCACCCTCTCTTCCTTCATCCCGTTGGTTTTCATCCCTCTCTCCTCTCTTTCCCCTCACCTTTCGACCTAAACCAATTCTTGTCCAACCGTGCCACCAGCATTCCCCTTTTCGCCAAGCACCCTCTCTTTGTCATCACCTTCCTTCGAGTCCTCCCATTCTCCTCTGCATTGGCACCGCCATGTGTTCCACCCTTTGTTTCGTACAAAACCTCAACTAATGGTCTTTTGGGTGAATTTTCTTTCATTATTCCATGGCACCAAAAATGTGTTTTTGAACGACGTCACGGGCCCGCGATGATGGGAAGGGAGCTAGCTCGAAACACAAAACGTCTCCGAATCGTGTTCGCTATGAAAGCCTTTAGGTGGAGGAAGGCTGACTCGCCATCGAACCTACTCTTCGTCGGCCGGATGACCGAACAATTGGTGCCTCTGCCAAGGCCACGAGCGTCGAAAAAACACAGCAACAAGGCGGGGCAGAGACGAGACGGGTTCAAAGTTCCCACATAGTGGTTTGCCTCCCGCCAACGGCGTATCCTATTAGTATTTGGACCGAGGTTTTGTTCAGCTTCTGGTTGCTGCACCGTTGACGACGGCAGCGTCTACCTGGACAGATACCGTGCCGAGGACCTCGTCTTCCCCCTCTGCGCGTCCCCCCGTGGGGACCACTAAATCCATCTCGTACAGTCCGTTTCATCTTCCAGTGGTTCTGGCGAATTGGTAAGCTCCTTTGGCTATGATGGGCATGTTGCATTGGCGCGTTGGTCGCCAGTGCAATGTCCCCATCATGCTCACGGACCTTCCTAGTGCACCACAAGCATTGGTCGAGGACACGGAATTTAAATACGAAATTCGGATTGGGCTTGTCCCCGAGGTTGGCGTGTAGGCGGAAAAGACGAGGATCTCTCACCTGGGTGGGGATCACTAAATACTCCACCTTGTACAGTCCGTTTCCTCGATCAGTGCTTCTAGTGAATTGGCAAGATCCTCGACCATGATGAGCATGTTGCGTTGGCGCATTGGTCGCCAATGCCGCATGCCCGTCATGCTCCCGGATCTTCCTAATGCACCAGAAGCATTGGTCGAGGAAGCGGACTTTCAACAACGGATTGACCTTTTACCCCCGGTTGACGCGCAGGCAAAAAGGACGAGAATATCTCAGCCACTTGGGGGCATCGCGAAACCATCTGGTACAGTCCGTTTCCTTGACCAATGGTTCTGGTGAATTGGTGAGATCCGTGAGCATAATGAGCATGTTGCGTCGGCGACCAATGCACCAATGCAACATGTGCATAATGCTCACGGATCTTCCTAATGCACCAGGATCATTGGTGGAGGAAACAGAGCTGTAAGGAATCCGATAGGTCCTGCCCACCGGTTGACCTGCAGGCAAAAATAACAAGGATCTCTCGATTGGGTCGGTTCTCATGTATGTGTACATAATGTGTGTAGGTGTCTCACCATCGCAAAAACCCACAGCGAGCGGGGGCATTCCGTGGACCAATGGTTCTGGTGAGTTGGTAAGATCCTCGACCATGATGAGCATGTTGCGTTGGCGACCAACGCGCCAGTACCACATGCCCATAATGCTCACGGATCTTCCTAATGCACCAGAAGCATTAGTCGAGGAAGTGGACTTGAATCCACGGATTGATCTTTTACCCCCGGTTGACGTGCAGGCGACAGACGAGGATCTGTCAGCCACCTGGGGGGATGGCCAAACCATCTTGAACAGTCCGTTTCCTCGACCAATGGTTCTGGTGAATTGGTGAGGTCCGTGAGCGTAATGGGCATGTTGCGTTGGCGACCAATGCACCAATGCAACATGTGCATAATGCTCACGGATCTTCCTAATGCACCAGGATCATTGGTGGAGGAAACAGAGCTGTAAGAAATCCGGTAGGTCCTGCCTACCGGTTGACCTGCAGGCAAAAATAACAAGGATCTCTCGGTTGGGTCGGTTCTGATTTTTGTATGCATGATATATGTAGGTGTCTCACCATCGCAATAACCCACAGCGAGCGGGGGCATTCCGTGGACCAATGGTTCTGGTGAGTTGGTAAGATCCTCGACCATGATGAGCATGTTGCGTTGGCGACCAACGCGCCAGTACCACATGCCCATAATGCTCACGGATCTTCCTAATGCACCAGAAGCATTGGTCGAGGAAGTGGACTTGAATCCACGGATTGATCTTTTACCCCCGGTTGACGTGCAGGCGACAGACGAGGATCTGTCAGCCACCTGGGGGGATGGCTAAATCTATCTTGTACAGTCCGTTTCCTCGACCAATGGTTCTGGTGAATTGGTAAGATCCGTGAGCGTAATGGGCATGTTGCGTTGGCGACCAATGCACCAATGCAACATTGCATAATGCTCACGGATCTTCCTAATGCGCCAGGATCATTGGTGGAGGAAACAGAGCTGTAAGGAATCCGATAGGTCCTGCCCACCGGTTGACCTGCAGGCAAAAATAACAAGGATCTCTCGGTTGGGTCGGTTCTGATTTTTGTATGCATGATATATGTAGGTGTCTCACCATCGCAATAACCCACAGCGAGCGGGGGCATTCCGTGGACCAATGGTTCTGGTGAGTTGGTAAGATCCTCGACCATGATGAGCATGTTGCGTTGGCGACCAACGCGCCAGTACCACATGCCCATAATGCTCACGGATCTTCCTAATGCACCAGAAGCATTGGTCGAGGAAGTGGACTTGAATCCACGGATTGATCTTTTACCCCCGGTTGACGTGCAGGCGACAGACGAGGATCTGTCAGCCACCTGGGGGGATGGCCAAACTATCTTGAACAGTCCGTTTCCTCGACCAATGGTTCTGGTGAATTGGTAAGATCCTCGACCATGATGAGCATGTTGCGTTGGCGACCAACGCGCCAGTACCACATGCCCATAATGCTCACGGATCTTCCTAATGCACCAGAAGCATTAGTCGAGGAAATGGACTTGAATCCACGGATTGATCTTTTACCCCCGGTTGACGTGCAGGCGACAGACGAGGATCTGTCAGCCACCTGGGGGGATGGCCAAACTATCTTGAACAGTCCGTTTCCTCGACCAATGGTTCTGGTGAATTGGTAAGATCCTCGACCATGATGAGCATGTTGCGTTGGTGACCAATGCGCCAGTACCACATGCCCATAATGCTCACGGATCTTCCTAATGCACCAGAAGCATTGGTCGAGGAAATGGACTTGAATCCACGGATTGATCTTTTACCCCCGGTTGACGTGCAGGCGACAGACGAGGATCTGTCAGCCACCTGGGGGGATGGCCAAACCATCTTGAACAGTCCGTTTCCTCGACCAATGGTTCTGGTGAATTGGTAAGATCCTCGACCATGATGAGCATGTTGCGTTGGTGACCAATGCGCCAGTACCACATGCCCATAATGCTCACGGATCTTCCTAATGCACCAGAAGCATTAGTCGAGGAAATGGACTTGAATCCACGGATTGATCTTTTACCCCCGGTTGACGTGCAGGCGACAGACGAGGATCTGTCAGCCACCTGGGGGGATGGCTAAATCTATCTTGTACAGTCCGTTTCCTCGACCAATGGTTCTGGTGAATTGGTGAGATCCGTGAGCATAATGGGCATGTTGCGTTGGCGACCAATGCACCAATGCAACATTGCATAATGCTCACGGATCTTCCTAATGCGCCAGGATCATTGGTGGAGGAAACAGAGCTGTAAGGAATCCGATAGGTCCTGCCCACCGGTTGACCTGCAGGCAAAAATAACAAGGATCTCTCGGTTGGGTCGGTTCTGATTTTTGTATGCATGATATATGTAGGTGTCTCACCATCGCAATAACCCACAGCGAGCGGGGGCATTCCGTGGACCAATGGTTCTGGTGAGTTGGTAAGATCCTCGACCATGATGAACATGTTGCGTTGGCGACCAATGCACCAGTACCACATGCCCATAATGCTCACGGATCTTCCTAATGCACCAGAAGCATTAGTCGAGGAAACAGAGCTGTAAGGAATCCGATAGGTCCTGCGCACCGATTGACCTGCAGGCAAAAATAACAAGGATCTCTCGGTTGGGTCGGTTCTGATTTTTGTATGCATGATATATGTAGGTGTCTCACCATCGTAATAACCCACAGCGAGCGGGGGCATTCCGTGGACCAATGGTTCTGGTGAATTGGTAAGATCCTCGACCATGATGAGCATGTTGCGTTGGCGGCCAATGCGCCAGTACCACATGCCCATAATGCTCACGGATCTTCCTAATGCACCAGAAGCATTAGTCGAGGAAACAGACTTGAATCAACGGATTGATCTTTTACCCCCGGTTGACGTGCAGGCGACAGACGAGGATCTGTCAGCCACCTGGGGGGATGGCCAAACCATCTTGTACAGTCCGTTTCCTCGACCAATGGTTCTGGTGAATTGGTAATATCCGTGAGCATTATGGGCATGTTGCATTGGCGTGTTTATCGCCAGTGCAACATGCCCATAATGCTCACGGATCTTCCCAGTACACCAGAAGTATTGGTCGAGGAAACGAACTTCGTTTATAACGTATTGGTTTCTCCGCGGGATTGACGTGCAGGCGATAAAGACAAAGGTCTGTCGGCCAAGCCGGTTCTCGTACATGGGTGTTACCATCGCCGCAGCGAGCGAAAGCAAACAATATTGGCCCAAGAACCACGATACTCCCTAGACGAAAGAGCATCCAAGAAAAGGCGATCAAACCGCCATGGGGAGTTTGTGACCGTGTGTTTCATAAAGTGTGCATCAACCGCGCTATTCGATGACTGATGAAAGAAAAACACGTCAGCTTCTTTGCGGGATGCAAAAATGCAAACACGATTGTGGTCATTGGGCTCCGGTGTGTTGACATCGACCGCGCTAACCGACTGGCCAACGAAGAGACCTCAGTCTTTCGGCGGGATAATGAAATGTGCTTCTAGTTGTTTTTTTCGCCGAAAGTACCTGCCTGCTGGCCGATACCACGGACTCCAAGGGTCGCCACACGAAACCCTGTGTTCGTGCGTTCGTGTCGTACTGCAGACGGGAGCTACCGCACTATGTTATTCACCAATAAAAGGCGCTATCTTGCGCGGAGTAACCTACCCTACGGTAGACGGCGGGGGGGGGGAGTGAGAAGGCGTCAGGAATGTGCCAGGTTCCAGGACCCCTGAATTCTACAACATAACAAACTTCAACTCTCACCCTTCATCGTTCCGGAAATGCTCAATCTACGTGCGCGCAAAGAAAACGGCGCGGGTTTTTTTCGTGTTGTAAAGAGTGGAGTTTGTTTTCAATGAACCACCTTGGAGCGTTTTCCTTGCCATCGTTAGGCTCGACGCGGGAGGAGTATCCGCGCGACGTCTTGGCTTCTTTTAGTTTGTTCAATCCCACGTTCTCATGTTGGTAACGTTGCCGCGACATCAACCCCAACATTATTTTGACGTGCCGTTGCGTGTCCCAAAAGCGGCGAGAACGAAATATTTCGCGCCAGACGTCTCATCATCCCACCACCGGGTTTCCGTGTTCCCGCCCCGGCTATCCTCTCGTCGTCTTGCGGTACGGCTACTCCAGGTGTTCTCGTGCGGTGTCGGCGAGTGCGTCGGCGGTGACGGGAGAGACCGAAAACAGGCCGCCCCCGTGCCGTCCCTCGCCGGGTTTCCCACCGTGTGGATGGCGTGCGGGAACAGCCACTCGGTGGTTATCGGAGCCGGAGGTGACGCACTGGGTTTCGGTTTGAACACACACGGTCAGGTGAGTCGAGGCCGTCTTGATTCGTTTTTGCCTTGGAGGCGTGCTTTCAGGCTGGGCCGTGCTCGCCGGGGCGGGGGGGTAGTGAGTGTCCCTTTGGGCGGCTGTGCTCGTAGTCAGTTGGCTGATCGTAGCAGCGTGTCGCGTCATCCGTCGGACGCATGCATGCATTGAAGAGAATCGAGACCCGGCATGGTCTCGAAGGCGCGCCCTGCCCGACGCGCAGGCCGCCGCAGCCGCCGATAACCCCCTGCAGAGGCTTTGGCCGCCGCGCGGTGACCGTGACACGAGTGGGATCTTGACTCAAACCACAAGGTTTTTCGTGCTGTTGGTACGCTACGAGCTCTACACCATACCCCAGAGGAATCCGCTACAACACGTTAACTCTTAGAAAGGCCGGGTACCTTGGTTCCCGCCCCCGCACGGGTGGTTCGTGGTCAAAGAGAGACTGCCTTGAGAGGCCTGTAGCGAACGAGTGCCTTTCCTTCAATACGCGCAGACGAGTGCGGTACCTCTCGCACCTGACACCGTCCGCAAAACTCGCGCGCTATCCCCTGCTTCTTCTTCCCGTCGTCCCCTCCTCGTAATTTCGGGTGTCAACAGCTCGGGGTAGGCGAGGTAGAAGGTGGCGAGAGGCCAGCAGTTCTGCACCCCCGACCGATCGTCGGAACGTTCTCCAAGCCTCTCACCTTGCGCCCCGCCGCGGCGGCTGCCCCAGACGACGCGCCCTCGCCCCGAGATTCAAACGCCACGGGAGCCGCCAGCGCCACCTCCACTAGGCCCGCTCCCGCCGGCGCGGAAGGCGCCGCCGCCGCCGTCGCCGCCGCCGCTGCCGCCACCGCTGCTGCCGCCGCCAGCAGGGTCGGTGGTGATGGCGCCAGCGGCGGCTGCATGAAGAGCGGGGCGACCCCGCCCGCGTTTCTGGCCGCCCGCGCGGCCTGCGGGCAGAGCCACACCGTGCTCGTCTCGACGGCGGGGGACGCTTGGGCCTGCGGCCGCAACCGGTCGGGCCAGCTGGGCGTCGATCCCAACATTGTTGGCGAGACCAGCACGCCGGTGAGGGTCCCGCTAGAGGGAGAAGGGGGAGGGGGGGGAGCGGTGGAGGCAGACGCCGTCCAAGCGGCCGCGGGCAGGGCGCACTCCCTCGTGCTGCTCTCCGACGGGAGGGTGGTCGGCTTCGGGAGCGACGAATTCGGGGCGCTCGGACCTACTGAGCCTCCCGCCGCCGCCGCCGCCGCCGTTGGCGACAGCATGGAGGTGGACACCGCGACGCCCCGCTCTTGCTACCATTGGAAGCCCACGGTCATCGAGGCTCTCAGCGGGCGGTGGGTAGCCTCGGTGTCTGCCGGCGGCGAGCAAAGCTTCGTGTTAGCGGTGGGCCCGGCGCCGCCGCCGGCCGTTGGGGCGGGGGCGGGGACAGCCCACCCCGCGCCTCCCTTGCCTTCTTTCACGGGTGACGCCGCTTCTGTTGCTGGGGCCATGGGATGGCCAGACGATAAGACTACCGTGGCGGCGGCCATGTCAGTAGACAGCGATTCGGCAGCGGAGCAGAAGTTCACGCCAGCACCAGCGGCCACCGAGAGCGAGGCACGCCGCGAAGGAGGTGGAGAAGATGCGGGCGGCGGGCCGGGAAGCCTCGCCGGGGCCGCCGGCCCGCTCGTGAGACGGGGCTCCGAGGCGCTGTCTCTCCGGCGGCGGTTCTCGCTCCCGCCGACGCTGAGGATGTGGACGGCGGGCGAGTTCCTGCAGCTGATCAGGAGGGCAGAGGCAGCCGCGGTGGCCGGGGACAGCTCGGACGTGGAGGGGGAGGCCAGCCGCGGGGGCGCAGAAGAAGCGGCAGTGCTAGAGGTGACGTTTGTCTCGGAATGCAAGGCCAATTATCATTCCGCTGAAAAGGGTTTGCAGTGGACGTTATGGTAGATAATGCCGATCAATCTCGTCTCGAATAGTGTTGGGCGCCAGGTGCGGGATCGACCGCAGTTCGTGCTTGCTCGATCGGGTATTTACTGTTGTGGGTGCTACGACGGGGTGGCGGGGGGTGGGGAAGAGAGCATTCGACGGAGGACGTAGAAACGCGTTCTCAAACCCTGCGGGTCTGGCTGGTGAGTTTTTCCGTTTTGTTCAACCAGGGCCGATCTCTGTCCGGCACAAAGTTCCCAATTGCGCCTGTCCACCACCTCCCATTATCGTACTTATTCCGAACGCCCGTGGCCTGATTGAAACCTCGGCTGCTCGCCTCTGCAGACCGTGACGCTGATGAACTGCTATTGACAAGAATTTTATCCCAGCTTCTTGTGGGATGGGAGAATTGTATCCCTGCAAGGCCACTTACCGCTGGCTGCCCGAAACTCCTCCGGCCGTTCTTTGAAGCAGGCGGTGCGACAAACTTTCGCCTCGCCATCGGTCCTGAGCGCGTGCTTCAACATCGAAGCACCGGCAGAGGCCCGACACGGCAACCTGGGGAGGAAGCAGACGGGGGAAGGGAGGGGACAGGGGACGGCTTTCCCCCGGGTGGATGCGGCGGGGTTGGAAGCTGTGTACGCGGGGCTCGCGGGTCTGGGGCCGAGGGTGGTGGAAAACACTGTGGTCGTCGATCGAGGAGGTGCGATCACGATACCGTCAGCGGCATCCCGAAACGTTGCACAAACCCCTCTTTTTCGAGATAGCGCCGCTGGTTGTTGCCTTGTTCTTTCAAGGTATGCCAGTTACCCCTCCATTTATCCGTTTCCCGGCCCCTATTCCGCGCGCTCATCTACACCTCCTTCACCGCACGAACTTGTTCCTCCCCGCGCTTGCCCACTTCTCCGCTTCCAACATGCTAGACATCCACACGCGTGCGCTCCCCTTCCTATGCTTTAGGTTGGGCGCATGCCCCCCCCCCCCCCCAAACCCGGTCACCCTCCCCCGCCCCAGGGAACGGCAGCGGCTGCCCTTCTCCTGAGCGTCTCCTGCGAGCTTCTCTTTGTCCCGATTCCTTCTGCCGCCTTTTCGTGCTTGCCCCCCCATCAGTGATCAGTCCTGTTGGAACAATGTCGCGTCCTCTCGAGGACGCGCGGTCAATGGTCTAACAGCTAACGCATGCCCAACATGAATACCCCAGGGAATGGCAGTGGTCAGGGCGGCGCAGCAATCCCCTTCGACTTCTTCGAAGTCTCGCTTCTTTTGGCCATCTTCGGCCCCGGCCGTGCCGGGTCTCGAGGCCGCCGGGGTGTCGTTCCTCCTCAAGTACTGGCAGGGATCCACCTTCTCGCGAAATGTGGGGGAGTCTCCGGACCCGGGCAAGGACATGGCCATGGAGAGGATCTGCAAGACGGTGCTCGGGCTCAAGGGGCACGCCCGCTGGTGGCTCATGCGCAGGTAGGCGGCGCGCGAGGCGTTGTTGGCTGGGTGGGTCATGGCATTTTACTGTGCTGCTGCTTCCTTTGTCGAGAATAAGTCCTTCCGTGTTTTCTTGTGCTCTGTATCGCAACCTTCCCTGTAACCGTGGTACCGCTCAGTCGGAAACATTTAGGATCGTTCTATTACAAACGTTAAATGCCCAAATGATCCTTACTTTTCCTAACACAGAGGTGGCATACGGTAGGCAGGAACCGGAAAAGGGTCTGAAAATGTTTCTTCCAGTGGTGTCCGTCTCAGTATGGGTGGGTTCTCCTTCGTGGACCTTGGCCGGGGTTCCGGAGAGGGCAGGTTCAGCTTCAACGCCACTTCACTTGGCTAAGCTCCACTCGGTTGTGATTTACTTTCGCTGTCCATTGAACCAAGTGGAGGGTGGCCGGCCTGTGATCCCAGGCGCCCGCGTCAGTTAGACCGGTACGGAGATGTTAAAAGGTACTGAGCAGAGGCTGGAACGTTTTTTTTTTTGTGGAGACAACAGCAACAGCAGCCTCAACCACAACAACATCCGTTTATGTATCCCGGGTGCGTCTAATTATTTTTTCCCCAACCCGTGTGCGCGGTGTGTTTCTCCTGGCATGGCGTTCACCTATATTAGCGTCAAGGAGGACTATTCTGCGGAACTTTTCTCCTCCCGACTGGTCAAGCCCATGGTCGAGCACCTTTCCATCTGGCTGAAGAGAGTGGGGCAGAGGAGGCCCTACTACCCTACCGCGGCTTTGCTACTCAAGGTGAGGCACACGCACACGCCGCCGCCTGTGGGTTGGGCGCGCCAGCGGAAACGCGGCGCAATTCGTCCTTGCAATACTGAAGAAAATCCTTGTGAGGACCATTGCGGCGGTTGTGTTCATGGTTTCTTGGTAGACGATAGACAGAGAGAGCGGCGGGGATATGAGCTGAGCGTCCGCATAGTGCAGAGTTCTCAGGTTGCTTTTGCTGCATTCTCTATTTGGAGTGTCGGATGTATGAGCAGATCACCGGACTCTCAATGTTTGCGGGGCGGGTTGCGTGGTATAACATGCGAACCGCCATCCTCGCATCCATGTTCCCGTCTACCGTAGGTTACATAATGCATCACACATGTTGGAGTGGTTCTCTTAGCTCGATTACTCCCGGCAGCACAAGCAGCTACTGTGCCGAAAATGGCCGCGTTGGAACCTTCCCGACAAAGAGCCTTCTGATAGCCTTCTGATAGTCTTCTGATAGTATTTAGTCAGATTCTGGCATCTTCGTCGTCGTGCAGTATTCGAGCTTTGAACGTTGGTTCAAGGGGGTGTTGTATCTTTCGTCATGCCACCTACGGTGTCTCGGAGAAGCATCAGTAGTCAATAGGTCATGTGTGTTTAAACATGTTGTGGATGAGCTGGCCTGAATGCCGTCGGCCCTCCGATCTCACACTGTTGCTCTTTTCTCTCTGACGAGGTGTGTGTGGTTTCTCCCGGCATCTATTTCGCCGCGCCCGCCCCGTGTGCGTCCCGACCCACCCGACTACACCCACAACATGCTTCACGACCGCGCTTCTGCTTCGCTCCGCACCCCTCGGGCTTCACCCCCGCTCTCTAGCACGCGCGTGCTTGGCAGACGAAACACCGCATTCCAGCATAGCCTTGTGACGACTGCTTTCTCCCAAGTCGGTACATTTATCGCTCCTTTTGTTGTTTTTGTCGACGCCGATTCATTGTCTCCGCCCCTTCCAACAATGAAACCATGGTACGGTGCCAAACACATTCTCACTCTCCCAACCGACAATTGACATAAAACGTTTTGTTTTTCGCGTGGTGCCGCCTGCCACTCTACCCTACGCTGCCTGACGCTACGCTACGAAGTGGCTGCATTCCATCAACGAGCTCGAGGGGACGCCGAAGGTGAGTCCGGGAGAGCGGGTCGTTGCGCGGATCGTTCCGCAGGAACAAGCCTCCGTTGTCGTCTCCGGTTGCGGCTGGTTGAAAAATGATGCTTCCGTGATCGCGCGTGTGTGTTTGTCAAGAACCGCGTTTCTGTGTTGCCGAAACGGGGTGTTGTTCTGTGCGATGGTGTTCCGGAATTGCCTGTTTGTTCTTCTTGTCAGTTCCCCGGATTTTTTTTGTTTTTTGACCAGTTTTCCTGAAATGATCGGTGCATCGCCCTTCCACGGGAGAATAACTGGGCGCGGAACGCGCCCCGTGCGGGTTTTCCGCGGAGATTTTCCATGGGTCGTCCATCCACCAGACCACTCCATTCAGTCGAACAGCCTCGTCGCCCAACACAGACCACATGTAGCTCGCCTTCCCTTTCGTACCCCGTTGACTCGGTGATGGGCGAATTTTGGATCAGACAGAGTCTGATCCCATTCTCGTTATCCTTACTCCTCCTGCTCGTGCCTCGCTCAATCGCAACTAGGCAGACCTCTGGCAGTGACACGATGTCGTAGGCGTTTGAAGTGTGGGGCGCAGTGACGTATTCCAGAGGACCATTTAGTTTTTTTTGACACGGCGAAGGTAATGATTTGTGCTCTTGAACACTTCGAAAAAACAACTGCAAACGAAGGCACTAATATTTGTTATCGATAACTGTACCTGCTGCTTCTACCGCCTTTTCCCCAGGTTCCATACGAGGACTTTTTCAGTGACTACATCTCAAACATGCGCGCGGATAACGTCGTGCAGGACCTGCTCACGTGGAAGGACCAGCATCCCTCTGTTAGGATCAAACGGTTCTTCCTTTGCGAGCACCCCTTCTTGATGTCTACCGACTTGAAAAAGGTGAATCGTTGTTGAGAAAAGCGCGTTTTGCTATCGAAACCTACATTGGTATCGACACTAGACCGATATCCTTTGCGAGCACGCCTGCCCAAGCTCTACCCGGAAAATATGGTGAACGCGACCCGTTAATATATGAATTACATACAACCGTGGCTCCGATATGAGAGAGTGGTGTGACACAGGCCCTTGGACCTCTAACATGGGAGCCCCCTCTTATTCCGGAACAAGAGGTTGCCCAGCTACACTATAGCGGGTCGCGTCCGGGACAACCGATTTCGACCCTCTTATATCGGAGCCCCCTCGTGAATGGTACTTTCTTATATCGTCGCTCGGAGCCACGACTGTATCGCAAACCTACAGTACCTTAGCATGGATAAAGGACGGTTCTCCTATGGGAGCACGCCTTTCTCGTCTCTACCGGGAAAAAGAAGGCGAACCACTAATATTTGTATACCTGAAAGGTAGCATCGAAAAAGGGCGGCATGATCACAACGTCTTTTTTCTTCCCGTCGCGATCAAACAAAGAAGCAATCAAGGCCATGCAGGTATGCGATGGGGTGGAAATTCCCTGACCATTCAGCTTGGTAAGGACTTGGACAGGCTTTTTTTTTTTGTGCCGCTGCTACTGCTGTGTGTGTGTTTGTCAGTTTCTCATGTTGCCATTGTCTGCGCTAACCTGCTGACTATTGGACAGAACCCAGTTTTTTGTTGTGATTGTTGGTGGGTGGGCTGGGGTAGGCTTTTTTGGCTTATTCTTGATAGCTCCTTGATTGCTCGAGGCTTACCTTGTTTAGGATTTCAGTGGTTGCAACAAGACCACCGTATCCACCACCACTGTCACCATCGTCAGCAATAATTGCAACGTTTGCAACATGAGCGTCATCATACGCATCCTCCCCATAATCAATTCATTACATCGTCATCACTCTCAACATGATCAGCAGCAACAACAACCACAGCCGGCCCTACGCCCGTCCGTACGCGCACCAACAACATGCAGTTCTTGCTTAAGGCGGAAGCTCAAGTGGAGCAGGACAAGGCCGCCCAAGCCTCGGGGCACTACGTTCCCCTCGTAGGCGTGGTGATCAACCCGTACTTGGTGCTCACGGTCAACAGGACCCACTTGCTCCAAGAAACGTTGGCACAGGCAAGCAAGCAGGTTGAGAGAAAACGTTTTGGGTCTCCCAACGCTGTTTCGAGTACCTATAACTTTTTTTTCCCTCTTGGGGAGGCTATTTTTTGCCCGAGCGTCCGACGATTGTGAAATTTCTCGTGTGTTTGTGTCATTAATGGCTGCCGGGAAATGTACAGCGCGTAACAAGCAACGCACGTGTTCGTGATCGCAAACGTAGCGCCAGGGAGGCAACACCGGCGGACTAATTTTGCTTTGTCACTGCTGAACCAGTGAGGTAGGGGCTTTCGACGTACAAACTATTGTGTTGCCGGGCGTACATCAGAGGATAATACGGTATGTACGCCATGTCTTGAACAAATTTGATTGGTGTTGTTGGACACGATTGCAGGGGCACGCTGCCGCTGCCCTCCGTCGTGCACAGTAGACGCCTTTATCTCTCACGACGCTGTGTTGCATCCCAAGCTTTGCTAGCTTGTAGAGTCACGGTCTACACCCTATACATCAACGTGCCTCGCGATGCCATACCCCAAATGCCCCATCGCCCAACGCCGCTTGCCGTACCGCCGCCACTGGACTTGAACGATGCCCCCTCAACCGCCTCTGCATCATTCCACGCCCCCCCCCAGGGGACGCACTCGACTCAAAGAACGATAAATTCCGCCACTGCACCTGCCGTTCATTTTTACGCGACCCTCTTGGCGTACGCTCCCTCCTCCCCCTCGTCTCTGTACTGTATCTTCCCCACGTTGTGGCTTGGGGGGTTCGCACTCGACCCAAAACCACCCCCCTGTTGCGCTGCGTTCCCTCCTCACGTACCTCGCCCCGCAAAGGTTTCCCGGCTACCAGACGCGGACCTGCGGAAGCGGCTGAAAGTGGTTTTCCGCGGAGAGGATGGCGTCGATGAGGGAGGGGTTACGAAGGAGTTCTTCCAGCTGCTGACTGTCCAGGTACGTACGTCATGGAATGGTCACGGGCCTTCGCTCCTCGGCGCTTCTATTGTTTTGTGTTGCGCCGTGTATTTTGTAGACGCGGTAAACGGTTTCAGGTCTGCTTAAGTCGTATTGTGCGCGGGACGTCGAATCTTTAGAGTGAACAGATTTTGTTGTCTTGTACGTGGCTGGCCCTTATCGGACGTCGTACAGTTTTTTGCCCAGAAATGACACCCGCGGATCCATGACGACCAACCCACCCTAATTTCACCGCGACGTGGTCGGGATCATGTTTCTGTTGTTGTGGCGAGCAGCCCCTTGGTGCACCGGTCCTACTCCCACCCACGAACGCCGTGATTCCCTGCACTGGATCAAGGGACCGACCGCCCTTGAAATTTCGCCGCCCGATCCGTCCCCAACCCAGCTGTTCGACCAGTCCTTCGGCATGTTCGTGCCGGCGGGAGAGGGAGGCCGGGTGCTGTGGTTCAACAAGGACTGCGTCTGGGCCGACGAGGAGTACGGGCTGGTGGGCCTGTTGGTGGGGCTCGCGGTCTACTCGGGGGTGATCCTGGACGTGCCCCTGCCGCTGGTGGTGTTCAAAAAGGTCCTCGGGGAGCAGCTCTCGCTAGAGGTGTGTGCTGGCCGCCGCCCTTTTTTTTGTTTTTTTTTCGTCTTTCGACATCTCTGTCCACGGGAAAGTAGTTCGGGTTGGATTAGCATTCGTTCATGGTTGTGACATGACCAAGCTGTGCTTTTCGAATCTCTGCCCTCTTGCGGTTTGGGTTTAATGTGGGCAGCAACCTTTTTGGTGCTGAGGACTGATTATAATGACATGACAAGCGTTTGTTGTTGTTTTTCTGCCCGCTGCTCAGCGAAATGTGTGATGTGCCAGCCTCGTATGCGGTAGGCGGAAGAAAACCGTGACTTGAGAACCGCGTCTCACCGCTGCAATTTTCGATCATTCCGGTGCATTTACGAAGGTTTACATGAAGGCTTACTGCAGGAGGCCATCCTTAGATGCGTAGAACGAGCTGAATGCATGCGAGCTGAAACGTTTGTCATTCGACAGCATACCGGGATTGACCACCTCCTTCTTGGGCACGGGATCAGCAAAACGTACCGGAATCTAGAACGATCGGATGGCGAATGCACGCCCAGGTGTAACAAGGCCTTGTTGTTGTCGTTGAGAGGTGCAAGAGGAGGGGCCTTCTCTGCACTCCCTCTTCGTATTGCCATGATGAAGCTAGGAGCGAGGGTTCCGCAAATATTGAATTGCGGAGGGGTCGCGCGTTCCGTATGTTTCGTGTTCTTTTTCGGTTGGTGATGTTTTTCCCAGGATCTCGGAGACATCGACCCCGGTCTACTCAAGGGTTTCCACCAGCTGCGGGATTATGATGGCGGGGACGATGAAGACGTCTTCGGCCTCGACTTCAGGGTGGGTGACATGGTCCTCCGCTTTGCTTTCCCTCGCCGTTTTGGTGTCGTTTTGGTTCAGCCTCGATGTGTTGAGTGTGCCGACGAGATACAACTGGCCTCTTCTTCAGAGAGACAAGAATACAACCATGGAAAGGAGTAGAACAGGAGAGGAGAACGCGGGGATTGGATATGCTCTATCCCCATTCACCATCAGCAAGCTACAAAACCAGATTTTCCGCCCGCTTGGTGCAGTAGCGGCAGCCCCCCACAGTTGACGGATTTCGCCGTTGAAATTGTCAACTCAGGCGAGGTCGTACTCAGATTCGTGCGAGAGGGACGCTATGGAGAATCAACACAACAACTGTCTCCCTAGGATTTCACGCGCCGTCTTGAGCGGCAGTGGGCCATTTTGATGCACAGTTCGTGTGTGTTTTCCGTCAGGGAGTGAGTGAATATACGACTGAGTATTGAATGAACAAGTGAATGGGTTGGTGGGTGAATAAGCGAATAGTGAGTGAGCGAAAAAGGGGAGTGAGTGAGTGTTGGTGAGAGAGTGAAGGAACGGTGAATGAGTGAGTGAGTGCATTACCGAGTGAGTGAGTGAGTACGTGAGTGAGTTATGAGGGTGAGCACTTGCGTGCGCGTGCGTTTGTTTGTTTGTATATATGCATATTTTGTGCTCTTTGGAGTATCAACCGCTGACCATCAGTCTCCTGGCCAGAAACGTGTGTCTAAGTATGTGAGTGTGAGGAGTATGCCACGCTTCTTGTATGCCATGGCTCTTCTCTCAGAAGTCAGAAGGTGATACTGCAAGGGTTTCCGGTGTTTGCCCCGAAAACATTCTAAACGATTTTCGAGTGAGCATGTTCAGCCTGGCGGCATCGCCGTCTTCCAGCTTGTTCCGCGGTCAGATGCGCCGTCAATGGTAGAGCATAGTTTGGGGCAGAGTCAAAGCATGTCACGCTAGGTTACACTGAAGACGTTTCAGTCTTCTTGTGGCCATGGCAGAGATCACGTTTGTTTCGGGCTACGTGAAACTTAAACCGGTACTTCCCGTATTCGTTGCGTTGCTTGTTCTAGAATACAGTACAATCTCACAACAGATCCCACGTGCCAACCACGATCCCATCGTTATGTATTTTTCGTGTCCACTGGCATGCAGCATCTCGGGTAGCTCTTTGTGATGCACGCCCTGCGACTCGCTTTCGTCCTTCCTGTAAACTTCGCCTTTTTCGGTTTGTCGGTTGTCGTGTCCCTGGCTACGACCCTGCGCACAGGTAACTTGGGATGACCTGGGGATGGAGCGCAGCCACGACTTGGTGGAGGGGGGCGCGAATATCCCGGTGACAAGCGAGAACAAGGAGAGTTACGTGGAACTTTACGCGCAATTTCTTCTGGTCGGGGCGGTCTCGCGGCAGATGGACCACTTCAAGCAGGGCTTTCTTAGGGTCATGTCCGGGGCGGCTTCGATATCATTGTTCAGGTGCATGGAGACAGATTTCGGAATGGTTTGCGATTTCTTCGGTCTGCGTTCCTCCGCAGTGTGCCCCCCCCCTGTGGTGCGTAAAAAGCAGGCGGAAACGTATAGACTGGCCCTAAATGGGACAGGACAACATTATTGCGAAAACTCTTTACTATTCTGGCTTTGGTTGTTGAAAGTTGCTACGTTGTGTCGTCGTTATCACCACCGATGCGCGAGAAAAATTCACGGCCATACCCCCTCCAGCACAGCTTCCTCTCGTGCGTAAGCCAGCCACCGCCCCGTAGTTGTTTCTTTTCGCAACCGCTTCTTTTCTTTTTTTGCCGAGTTTCAGGGCGGAGGAGCTCGAAGTCCTCGTTACGGGAACGTCGGAGCTCGACTTCGAGGAGCTCGCCAAGGCCACCGAGTACGACGGGGGCTACGACGAGGACCACCGCACCATACTGGCTTTCTGGCGCGCTGTGGGGCGGATGCCTGCCGAGGAGCAACGGCGCCTCCTCATGTTCGTCACGGGCTCGAAGAAGGTCAGACTTTGCTGCGTAGATTCCGTGTCGTGTTGTGCAGAAGGCCAGCTTTCACAGTGTAGAATCCGTTACGTGTCGTGCAGCAGTGCGCTACTACAGAACTTCCCTTTGCGGGTGTGACGCTGGGAGGGTCGACAGACAGGATTTGGATGTTTTGGGGAGTTGGCACCCTCCTCCCGCTTCGCGGTGTGGTGGGGCTAGAACAGCAGGGCGGCGCCTAGGGTATTATCGTGGTCGTGGTCTTCGTAGCCGTCGTTGCTGGTGTTTGGCATTAATATCGCACGCTTCGACAAGCCTGTGCGACCAATGTGAATCGCATCTTGCGGCGCGCTAGTCATCTGTCTCGACTTGGCCTCATTGTGGCATGAAGCATGGTGCCAATGTCGCATGTATCCAATGAAATATTTGACTACCCTCCACCCTCATAGTCCTCGCCTCTTGCGGCGTGTCCCGTACTATGCATACGCTTTGTTGTTGGCGGTTTTTTGTTGAGCTGCACGGAATGTTGGGCGCTCTCCCGTTTTCCGACCGCACCGCGAATCGGCCACCCCTTCTGATGTGCAAGTAGTACCGGTGTTCTTTTTTTATTGTCGCGTCGTCCCCAGGACGGCTGTTTGACGTCGCTTGACCCTCGTCCGTCGAACGGTTTTCTTTCTTCGAGTTGGTTTGGTTTAACGTCGCTTGACCCGTCTTCCTGTACCGTGCTCGTTTTTTGTCGTGTGTCCTTTGTCCTTCAGGCCCCACTTGGTGGGCTAGGCAAGCTCACGTTCAAGGTGCGGAGCTTTGCCCCTCTTATGTGTTTAGATACACGGAGGTTTGCTTACTTTTTTTCTCGGCTGTTTTGGGATCAGGGGTCGGGGGTCAGGGGTCCGGGTGCTCGAACGTTTCCAAGCTAAGACAAACTCAAGGAGGCACAAGCGGTGCGCAAAAGATGGTGCCGCACATATGGCGGTGGTCCTGTGCTCAGGCCTCACAGTACCAAAAGATTTGGCCCACTGTTCAGAGTACGTCGTGGAGCATTTCTATCCTTGTTACACGATCCCATAGGCCTTACACAGGGCGATACGTTTGCTGCCTTATGAAGAAACCAGTACCGTCCCTGTCTTGACACCGCGTGCATAAAATTTATTCGCCTGCTTCAACCAAGGTTTGGTCGCCATAGGGTGCCTCTTGTCGCACGTATTCGCGGGCAGCTCTTGTTTTTGTAGTGGATGCGCACAATATGCCCGAAACCGAGATGTATAAAATAGTTCGCCTTCCGTCGAATAATGACTGATTTGGATGAAACGTTATCCGGGAAGGGCTTCGATCTACTGCTTCCATACTTGCAGAGAGTGAGTTCATCACTCCCCGGATGACCTTGGGGTAGTATGAACGAGCTGCGAGTGGTGGTTGTTGTCGTTGTTGTCTTCACCTTAAAACCTTTCCCGTCTTTGCTCAGTGGTACTGTGAACATCCGCACCTATCCAACTAACGACGACACCTCTCGTTGTTGAGGAGGAAATGTGGTCGTTCTCTCACCATCCCAGCGCAATCCTCCATGCGCTTGCCAAGAAAATTCAGGAGAAGAGGTCTAGTCGGGGCCAACTGTACCAGCGAAAGGGAGATCATAACGCGTGAATAACAGCCCCTTTTCCCCGAAATATCCTCCCCTGCCGGAACAGATCCAGCGGGCGGGGCCGGACACGGACCATCTTCCTACAGCCCACACGTGCTTCAACACTCTCGTGCTCCCGGAGTATTCGGGAGAGGAAAAGTTGACGAGGCTCCTCAAGAGAGCCATCGCGGAGTGCGAGGGTTTCGGGCTAAGGTAATGCCGGTGGGCAGCCCTTCGTTTGAGGTCGCACATGGATTTGCACAGGCAGCGTCATCGTAGACGAGGGCGAGCAGCATTGTATTGGGTCTGCAGTATAGCCAAACCTTTATTTGTTGGGCTGGGGGATTTGGGAGCCGAAGAGATGTGCATGCAGTGGGCCGATGTGAAACGATTTTCGGGTGACCCTAAACGCGGAGACCTGAGTCGGGGTCGACCAAGACCCCGAAGACAGTAATGTCAATCACCGAGCGCGGGGATTAGGACCGGGAATAGCAGCGCGTCGGCGGGGACATGGCAAGTGGTATGGAAGATCGTTGCGGTGGCTGCCTTGTGGATAAAATTTTCCGCGTAATTGTTCAGGGAACCTTTTAACTGGTAGATATCTATAGCGTAATCTGTCGAAGCGCGGTACAAGTTGATAACTTTATGCGTTACGTTCGATAAATGAACTTGCAGAGTGCAGCCGAATAGTTGGCGTCGTTCATCAGAGTTTCTGGGTGTATGGAGTTTATGTATGTGAAATCAGTTTCGACAGAAATGCGATGGAGTTCTGGTGCTTCACGCCCGCTACGAATATCCGTTCAGCGCGTAGACTATACCTGGTACATTTCGACAATACCTTGCGCGCCGGATACAACAACACGCAACGACAGGGCTGTCGGGCGCGAAATCATTTTTTTCCATGCGCACTCTCAGCAGAAATTGACGACCGTGCCTACAAAAACAAAATATTATATCTACGTCCCAGCAGTAGGGCTAGCTCCTGAGTGAAATGACTTCAATACCATTTCAAAAGCAGTTGGTTGTTGGCGCCGTCGATGGACCACGCGTGGAGATTGCTCGCCTGAGCTCAGGTGACGATGAACGACTCCGGAGAGGCAGGCAGACACAGGGCAGCGAAATAAACTGTTCCCGTTTCCGACGCCTTCAGCCTCTTCTCCGTTCAAGGTGCTTGCGTTCCCGTTGGGTTTGAGGTGACGCACATGATCAAGTGGGTGGGTTAGTTACGTACGCACGTTCTGGCATGAGCTGCTTCCCCTGGACAGCGGTGCAAGGCTTCTACATTCAACGATGTAGTGGACACGGACAACATGGCAGGGCCAGCGAAGTGATACACGAACAACGCCCCCAATAGGGGGACTTCGGACAATCGGCTCATGTGGTGCTGACGACTGCAACAGGTTTAGTCGGGTGTCTCACATAGCTGATGTGTGTGGTTGAGCGCCCACGTGACAAGGCAAATCAAACCGCCAAATCAGAGAAACACGGAAGTTGTAACACGTGCGAGTGGGTGTCTCAGTGATCCAATGAAATGGCGAAGGAAAGGCCAAACGAGCGGTCATCCCACGGAGCCGACCAGCTCCTGCAGGAGCAACGGGTGAACGTGAGGGCTTCCTACCCAAAAGCTGAACACTTGAGACGACGTCAATTAATAATGAGGTTTCCACCGTCCGACCGCGAAATCGTCACGTCAACGTTGAAGTAACTGCGGCTGTGGGGATGTGTCGTTCCGGTCTGACGGCGGTCGCGTCAGGACGCCAGGACGCGACTACTGTAGAGCAGGCAGCCTGACACTCGTGGCGGGACTCTGGGTGATTAATTGCGCACGAATAGGTGTTCGGCGTTATTATTTTGACGGATAGACTGTACACTAAAAAATGCTCTATGATTGCAGCGGTCGTCGTCAAATTTGTCTTCCCACGCCGCTATGCGTAGCATACAGTAGTCTACAGTAATGCAATCGACTCCGCGGAAGTCCAGTATCCGTCATCAAGGTTCCGCCCCTCTCACTGTAAAGACTTGAGGCATCCCTTCGACTGTGGTGTTATCACGGGTTAGACTAGACTAGTCTTTCAGTGCATCACTTGCATGCGTAGTTGGTAATAACTTGTAGATTCTGGATGTCTCTTCCCGCCATGGTCCATGTGCAAGCTTTGGATCGAAAACGAGCGAAACGATCCACCTGCTTGTGATATAGGGCATACATTGGCCTCCACGGAGCGAATCGAGTGTCGTTAGGCCGTGTGTGCAATGCGCTAGGCTGGCGATTCTATGTCAAGTCCAGGTAGATATATGCCGAATATATGCCCTCCCTGTGTCTGGATCTTCCTCTCACTGATGAAGTCGAACTCATCATTGGCCGCGAAACGTTATCAGTTGCGCCGCATCACTCTTCCCGAGGCGCTGACCCGGGGCGGTGTGTTGGTGTGTTCTCTGCTTTGGTGCGTGTACCCTCTCCAATCAGTCTTCCACGAGATCCACCTCCCACTCCCCCATTTCAAAGACGTCCGTTTACCTTCTTGTGGTGGGGTCGTTGCTGCCAATTCTCAGCGCATGTACTGTGCACTACAGTGCTGGCTAGTACTGCTGTACACCAGCAGGTGCTGCCCGATGAATTACCACACAGGAAGGTAAAAGAACATTTTTAGCCCAGCCATTTGGCAGGTCTATCGAGTACCACGCAATTAAACGGATTCGCAGTCGGTGTTGGCAGCACCTCCATATGGGCAAACGCTGAAACCGATGTGCGAGAATGACACCATCACTGAAGGCCGTCGTGGGACGTGCCTGACGGAGCTAACTCGACACAAGTCAAGTGTATGCGACGCCGGCTTAGACAATGAGGTTGGAGCGGCCGCCGTTGCTCCTGATCCCCAAAGAGGATTGGCGGCGAAATGCGCCAGGGAAGACTCATCCGAGAATACTGTAAGTCAGGTTTTGCAAGGGACGGAGTCCTCTCGAGAGTTGCGCCGCCACATCACTGCGACTCTACTGAAAGAAAGCCAAATGTTGTACATACTCTACGGCACATACCGATCCAGTATCTGTTGGTACACATCAGTGATGCATTGAGAATTATGTAATGCATGGAGAATTTCTCCGCCTGTGACACCGGCTGGTGAGTGAAGTCCATCTATTCCGAAGGGTAAAGGCTATACTGTAGAGTGGGACCAAGAACATATGGTATGGGGAAAAACAAGCAGATCGATCGTGCTGGCGTGTGTCCGCAGCGCAGTGCAGAGTACTTGATGCTTTCGTACTGCATCGGTTAGACTATGGCTCGCTCCTACAGTTTTGCCGGCACACTCGCGGTGGAATGTGAACGCCCATACTCCGTACACCCTGTTCTGCGCTACAGGCCGCTCACAAACGACTCCTAGCGGAGTCGCTGATTGTTTTCCACGACAAGAGATCGAGCAGCCGTCAGCTAGCGACGCAAATCATGGTGCGCCTTGTTGGACGGCTCGCCGTGGTTCAAGGTAAGAAGTTACGCGGTAGCTTTGTACAGGCGAATCGAGCCGCCAGTGTGCATCTGCTTTAAAATACAGCAGTTCAGAGATCGGAACTGTTTTAACATGAGGACAACAGTAGACCGAACCGAAGGGCGGCTACAACAATAATGTATCCCGATGTATGCGGGTTCCGAATGTCTCCACCTCTTGCGCGAACCCCGTAAGATTGAGCAACACAGCATGCGAGTTCTCCCCGTACCTTTCTAACGATGCGTTGTCTTAACCCCCCCCCCCACCGCTTTCCCCTTCTCGGCGTTTGTGATGGCATATGACCGCTCAGGCGCGGATGACATCATCGCTGTTGTCGAAAAACTGCATGTGCCGCATGCAAGTAGAAGTGGAGTAAATGCGATCATCACCGACCTCGACCCGAAGGTGACTAAATCGTTCTGCACGTTAAGGGCATTACTTGCTTGCGTGGTCTTACGTATGGATACTCCTTTGGGGTTTTTCTGCAACAGGTGCGTAGTCTATGGATCCATCGAAATTTCTTCTGCAGGTATCCGTCCGGCCTGTTGCTGTTGTTGGTGCACAGTGCCTCGACGAGTCATGAGTCGGAGGCTATGACAAACATGCAGTGACCTCAAACATGCATTACTTGAAATGGTAGAAACCAGGAACAAGCAGACCGATCTGTCTTCACGAATCCTCCCGAACACCCGGGTATTGGTCGAGAAGTCATCGAGGACCCTTACTTGCGTACCGAGCGCGACAAGGGTAGCACAAGCTCTCGGTCATGTCTACATCAAGATACCTCCATCCTTTGAGTACGCCCCAGTCACGGAAGCTCCCCCCTTCCCACAATATCCCCCGTACGATGTACAGCACCTTTGAGAGCGACTGCGAAAATATGAAGTATCGCCAACGACAGAAGAACCTAATTATAAGGAAGTAGCCTACTAGAAGTGGAGCCTTCAGTTCAAGCCACGCAGAGAAGCCCAAGACTCTAGTGTATACAATTGTGTGTGCCTTGGCTGGCTAACCTCAAACAACTAGACCAACGCCCGCAGGGCGTTTCCGCCCCCATGGTGTTACTGTCTGCTTCTCTTCGCTCTTTGCTATTGAGAAGGCCGCGGTGTTGGTTTCACACACAACAGGTTGTGCGCCCCCTGGGGTGCTCGCGAAGCATTGCTCTGTGGATCGTATTTCCGTGCGGAACAACTGTACGTTCGTCGTTTTCCGTGGCCTAACAATGCCTGAACGAACAGCCCACGAGGTACCGTTCTTCGACAGAGACGAGGATGCAACAAGGGAATGGCGGGCTGGGGTTTAACTGCGATCAACCCTTGCGTAGCGACACAGATCGGAAGCAGTCTTGGACGACCCGCCGGACAGAATACATCCTAGGTCCATCGTCACCATATTTGGAATGCTTAGATCCAGCCAATGAGTCCGTTCGCTACATTTTGTTTCGCTTTGTGTCCGATGCGGTGTAATGGCAGATCCCGAAACTGATGGAATCTCTTAGGTTGAGATCCTTACGCCCGGGGCTTGGAAAGCTTCCGATCGTGTCGGTGATCGTTGTTGTTGATCCGGACGACCTAAGGTGAGATAGAAAGTCACACCAGGTCTGTCTCTTCAGCATCATGGAGATTTTTTCCACCCAACCATGGGAAGATCTGGAGTCGTAGTAAGCCAAAGCTTCAGAGATCGGTGTTGTAGTGCGTGTTCGCTGGTAGTTCGTGGTCGTGCCCATCTCTTTATTGCCGGCTTCTGGTATGCACGAGAGCGAGTTACGCGTACAGCAGCAGCGAGTAGGGGATCAAAACCTAAAGCAGACTGATACAACAGTATTCTTATGTGAAGAACGCAAGCGATAATAAGAAAATGGCATTTAAAAAATTTAGAGAATCAACCATATTCACCCCAAGAACTAAATTGTCATGGACGGTGCCGAAGTGCGGCCCACACATGCATAATCCGCCAATCGTTCGTCCAACTAACGCGACGCCAGACCGGAGTTGCTGGCGAGCGCGATTGAGAGTGGGGTCGATGCGGTTATACGACGCCCGTTGGAACGGTCCTCCTTTACGTCATGCGTGGGGGAGGTTCTCCGAAAGCATGCCAGCGTAGAGTTCGTGTACAAGGTGTGTTTTTAGGCGCACTACATGCTGCTGGGAAGTTTGGTTTTTTGTTGTCAGTGGTGTGGGTGTTGATTTTTGTTGTTTCAGTGGTGGTGGTGATGGTATTGTCACCGTCATCGTTGTCGTTGTCCTTGTCCTCGAATCAGTCGTTATTGCTGTGGGTTGCACAGAACGACGGCGGACATACGCCCGCTCATTGCCACGCTCCATTTTCGTCGTACAGTATTGCCAGCGTTAACAAATGGAGAGAAGGACGTTTTTCCTTCAATTTTCCAGCATGCCATTCGAAACGATACCCATATCTCCACGCCTACGATACACTGAAAAGGACACGGTATCATCAGACCTATGCGCATCAATCTCTATGTTCACGGCAACAGGAACGTTTTCATTCGACCACCGTGTGACTGCGGTCCAAGTGTTTCCTTTTTGGTACCTCGTTGGATACAACGCCGGTTTCCGCTACGAACCTTACCTCGCACTTGATGAAAAACCTATTTCCACCCTCAGGATGTCGTCGGCGAGGTGGAGACGTTCAACTATCCCCGGTTTCTTCTAGAAGGCTTTCATTTCCTAGGCGTGGGGGAGACCGGCAGCGTCGGCGGCGGTGTGGGAGAAGGCGATAGCACCTTCAACGAAATCGCCGGAGATGCTGTGCGGACGTACACCAAGGAGGCCAGGTAAAACATTGCGCCTTTGCGCTCCCCATGTTCGTCGTACAAGAGAGCCACCACCGACCACTGAAGCGCGCCTCAGAAACACTTCTCCTAGCGCAGCTTAGCATACGCGCGAAACGCTGGATACCCAAGAGCGATTATGCTTGGTGCTACAATTATGAGGTCTGCCTTCTTACCAAGGGTGCACGCCAAATCCCGTAGTTCGTGACGCATGCCGAGTACACTTCCCAGGTCACCCCGAACGTGTGTATTTTCTGTTCGAGCAGCTTCACCCACAAGCGAGTTTCTCGTGGAGGTTCCGAGTATTGTTTCGACGGGGTTTCAACTGGCTGTGTATCATTTCCATCAGCCTTGTCCCACGAAAGTCTTCTGAATGTCGCAGGCGTACATATCTGTCTGGATAACACAATTTTCTATAACGCATCACGATAGCTGTTCACCACCTACAGCAGTCTCGTGTGTGCGACATTTGCCTTCCTTTGGTTGCTTCAGTACCGGGTCGGGGAACGGCAGCGTGACCACGGTAGGAACCGGGGGCTGGGCACAGGATGGCATTGTGTCCCCAAACGGAGGGAATGCGGGCCAATCAGGTGAGTGTTGCTGTTGTTGTTGCTGGGTGCCGTTGGTTTGCACGATCTAATTGTTGTTCTCGTTCTCTCGGTTGTGCCGACCAACTCAGAATGAGGCTGATATATACCCCACGTCGAGCTTATTTCTCCACACCATTTCACCTTCTTTCTGCTTGAATCCAAGCTTTCACCACCTGCATTCACATCCCAGTGCCCTGGTTCGGGCTAAGTTCTGAATCCTCTGGCCGTTTTCATCCTCTTCAGAATCATTCAGCCGAATGCAACCGCGTACAGCCTGACTTCGCTCACTACACCCCGGTATCACCATCTCGCAAGCTGAACTATCATGCTTGTGCCATGTTTCAGCCTGTGTTCACGTCGTCTAGCCTGAATTAACCACACAAAAGGTTGAGTGCACCCACGTGATGCCTGGGGTACGGAAGGTTATAACATATTTCGAACCCTCAGTTCATACCCTTCAACCCTCTTATCCGGTGGAAGTTAACCCCTCATTTCCAAAATAGGCCCTCTTTCAGCCTGGTTTCAATTTGCAACCGCCTGAGATCACCTTATTTCGACCCCCTTCGATTGTCCGGGTTTGCCCTCTTTCGGGTTGAATGCGCCCTCTTTCACCCTGGGTTCAGTTCTTGCGCACTCTTTCAGCAATTTCAACCTGGCTTCACCCAACTTCTTTTGTCAACGTGCTTTATGCAACAGTTCCCTCGAAACTGCGATATTACTCATCGGGCGAACTTCTCTCTGAAAGATGGGCAATGGTTCAAATGTTGTGAAAAAAAGACGAACACAAGCATAGCCGTCGGAGTTGCGCGAACAGGTGGCGCTCTAGGTTTTCGACGGTTCGAAGTTATGGCAGGTTCCGCCATCGAACCATGGCCACGAGATCAACTACAGTGTCTCGGAGTGCCATCCATGAACATCCATTATGATGGCGAAGGCCCTTGTCGCTGCCGTGACCATGCCTCAGGCCTTGATATGGCTTCGTCCCCATGCTTGCCGATCGAACGAAACACCGAAAGATCCAGAGAGTGGTCTTCTCCGTTCCCGCAGCATCGTTGGCGTCGTTGCGTCGATCGAACGGTCTGTGTCGTCTGCTGCTGCGCCACCAGAGGCGCCGCTACCCACGCCTCTGGAGACCCCTGTGGAGGCATCGACCACAGCAACCGACGCAACGGGCTTTGGAAGCGCTGCGAGGAAGTCCTCCAGGCAGGCCGCTACCGCGAGGATGATGGGGAAGGTACGTGGGACTGGGTGGAACGAGCTGCAGCCTTGCATGGAGGTTGTCGTAGTCGTTCCCTAGCTCGGTGCTGCTGTTGCTGTCTAGACGCTCTCTGACAAAATCCGAGCGTCCTTGTTTCGAACGACTGGAGAGTTGTTGCTCGCAATGGCGTGCTTCTACTCGCCGGGCGCATCCATTTCTTCCATCTGTTCTGAGTCCGATTGGCCCTTTCGGGATATCCTGAGACCCACTTCATTCTAATTCTAGCTGAGGAACATGGGCCATTTTTCAACAGAAACGCGGCTTCACTCTCCGATAACATGAATCGTTTCTCAGACGAAGGTCCTGACGACTATGAGAGGCGGTCACGTAAAGATCACCTCTCCCAGTCTCCGTCCACGCCTGTACCTCTACACTGGGGACAAAGGCTACGTTGGCGGCGGGGGCTCCACTATGAACGCCAACACCGACTCTCGCGACGGGGGAAAGCGCAGCAGCGCCGGGTGCAGCAATGGCGGGGTCGGCGGCAGCGGTGGCATCAACGGTGCAGGAGGCGACAGAGACCGTCAGAACCAAGGCGGAACGGAAGTTGATCGGCGAGTGGAAAGCGAGAGACAGGTACATGGTGGCGATTTACGGTAGCCTGCCCTACGTTTGTTCACGGTGACCAAGGACGTCGCGCGCGTGGTGTCAGGGACATGCGATGTGCGTAGAAACAGTATTGGTCTAAACCCTCTCCCCCTCTCCCTCTCTCTCTCCCCCTCCTCTACATAATTTTTCATAGACTTGCCAGTTGTTTTCGTTCACTGTAGAGAGAAAATTAGCACATATCCATGTAACTTCGATGTGTTGAATGAGTGTTGACCAAGGTGTCGGGTGCGTGTCTCGACCCCGCAAAGGTTTCGAATGAGCTGGCCCCATTCGTGAAGAGGAGACCGCCTGTCCTCGGGGACCCGGCCACGTCGTCGGGGCTGCGCAAGGCAAGGCTGGCCACGACGATGCGGCTGGTCGAGAATACCTTCGCCTTCACAAAGGGGCAGAAGGCGAACACGGCGAGTGCAACGATCATATATTCTAAATCGAATCACATCTTATGCTTCGAAGGAGCTCAAATTCCACACCGTGATTCCCGAGTTCTATTTTGTTCCAAATCCCGTACGCTGGCGGAGGTTCGACACCCATAGTACTTCCCGCCCCATGACCAAACCAGACCAAAGGCTATCATTTCCCTACGTGTTGAGTGGCGAGAGTGACCCCCCCCACCCCTGTGTCTCCTCGGCCTCCATTGCCAGTGATGAGCCCTCCCTCCAAAGCCATCCAGTCAGTAGCTTTCCCCGTTTCATGAACCACTCTCATCCTAACAGTACGCCTCCAACTCCCCCCGGCAGGCTTGGCAGTCGAAAGGCCGCACAGCTGCAGCAGGGACGTCATCATCGTTACGGCCGTCGGTTCCGACCCCTGGGTCATTCACTACCTCTGCCGGCCACGCCCCCACCGCCGCAGGACACGGGGCGGGATCAGGCCTACGGGCACAAAGGAACGCGAGAATTGGCCCCGGCTTCCCTCCAGGCGTCGGCATCATCCCCCCCGGCCGTGCTCTTCCGCAAAACCGAACCAGACCACCAAAGACCACGGGAACAGCGGTGGGACCCGCTGCTGAGGGAAGCTGGAGAGCCGCTACCGTTCGCGCGCCCCGCCCGGACGAAGGAAACCCGGTGTCTCAGAAGAAGATTTTCAACGCCACGGGCACGCAGGTGGGAGAGAGGGGGAGGGAGAACTCGGGGCGTCTAGATTGGACGCCCATCTCGGGGTGCAGTTTCGTGTTCTGTGCCAGGCGATGGGTCTCTCCAGCTGCCGCGTGGTTTACGCCTTTTGTGGTTGTAGGGTGGCTCCATGCACCCACGAACGGTGCCTAGAAGAACAAGAATACTACTTGCAGCGTTCAACAGTCCCATGTGTCGGCATTTCGTCAGCCAGCCAAGATCTGGACGTCTCCCCCCAACCCTCCTTGCACGAGAAACTAACGGGTTCGTGTGAATCCACGAACGCAAGAGATAACACAACACGTGTCAACGTTGGCCGAATCAGGGGCGGCGCGCGGCGACCAGAGCGGGTATGTTCGATGAAGTTCTCCGCAGGGACCAGACGAACGCCAACCCGACGGAGATGGCATCTACCGGGAATTTGCGCAGCGCCCTCGGGGTTGTCGTGACGGGAGAGGCTGCGGCGAGGCTCGTGATAGGTCGGATGATTCAAAACAGAAAGGCCAGGATGGCGAAGACGGCGATGAGCAATGGTGGGGAGGACGGTAGCCGTGGGGCTGGCGCCTGCGCATATGGTCCCATCAGCAAGAGAGCACCTAGAGGAGGCCTGACAGGCGGCCGTAGCATGGCGGCAGGTAGAGATAGAGGAGGAAGGGGTGGCTCAGCCGGAGCCCTCAAACGAAAGCCGGTCAAGGGAGTGTCGACATCTGCGGGTGGTGTGAGTGGCGGATTGCTTGGAGAAGGGATATTCAAGACCGTGCTTTCGTCCATGGCCAAGAAACGTCTACGGGAAGGGCTCCAGGAGATCAAGAGCAACCCTCTGGACTTGCTGCGACGTGGGTTTGTGGAGGTGGAGCCGACCAAGCACGGGAGCACAGCGCTAGGTTGTCACCTTATCAAAGGGTGGGAAGAGCAGACTAACGGCAACAAGTCTCGGGTGAGTGAGAGTTGGACGGAACCGTCATATCTGCTCGAGTGAGACAGGTGCCTGCTTGAACACGAACTATGTTGGCAAGGACCATTATTATAGAAGAAATGGGAAAACTTCATGGTTCCCCTGTGAATAACATTGTGCTCTTCACGGGCGTCAACCAAACAGCTAGTTGAGGCCTTTCCACGCTAATTATCGTTGTTGCGAGCCGGCGCCTTGCCCTCTCGAGAGCATCTCATTACACATGTTTTCACACCCGGGAATATCATGCGCTCGAAATCTAACCATCGTTTGGCCAGGCGTTGGGGCACTTCCGACGCGCGGTAGCCTCCGAGCCCGAGAACGTGGAAGCTCTTTTTTGCAAGGCGGTCCTGAGTGCGCAGCTGATGGAGCTGTTCGACGCCTTGAAGGTAACGTGCGTTGCAGCCGTGCGGTAGCTCTAGTCTATCCTCCAAATTCTAGGATGTGAGCAAAGCGCTCTTCATGCAACGTGTTTAAAGATGACTTAGGGTCTTAACAAACAGGTGTTTGGAATGAACATGCTGTACGTGGATGCCGCTCTTGCGTGAGTGATCTTCCGACTACTCTTCTTGTTATCAATCGAAAAATCAGCGTTGCGGGGAGATCCTCTTTGCGGTGTTTCGTTTTTTGTTCCAACCGCAATCTGACCGCGATCACGCTACCTAACACCCTAACCCTATGTGACTATCCTATCACCATGACCCGCACCGTTGCGTTAGGACTTCTCCGCCGCCATCAGCTTCAAGCTAGATGAGACCCACCGCGCCGCATTGCAGCAGCGCGGCGCCTCGAACACAAAGAGACCATCCAACGGGGTGACAGCCAGCGGCAGCGCTGGGGGGGTGTCCACTCATGGTCGAGATGGCGGGGGGGCGGGGACAGCAAAAGGAGGGGGAGCATCTGGCAAGAGCAATGTCTCCCTTGCGCATCTGTACGGTAACCGGGCCCTGGTGCACGTGTGCCTCGGGGACGACGATAGCGCTCTCGACGACTTGGATCGCGCGGTGGCCAGAGACACGCGGAATATTACGTGAGATTATCTTTGTCTTCCCGTTTATGTCTGCTTGTGTTTGCTGCCGATATACTGTTGTCTCCGTCCCTTTTTTACCGTCTGGCTGGATGCCGACAAACGATTTTCGTTCGTGGTATCCACATTTGGTCTCGCCCTTTTCCTGGGATGGCAGCTTCGAATTCGTTGGCTTCATACAGGGATCGTACAGCGGCGAACCGGGCATGAATGCACTCGTCTCGGCTCGATGGGTGCGAGGGGGCGTCTTCCCTAGTCAACCGCAATTTCACGACAACGCTGATCAGGCGGCCCAATCCAGTTGCTCCACGGTCCTGCCACGTATACCCGTTCCTCCTTCTCCCACTCGGTTTCAGATATCGGTCAAATCGGGCGTTGATCTTGAGGAGGGTGGGCGATTTCAGGGGAGCTCAGCAGGATTACAGTAGGATTAGAGCTTTGCAGGTACATCCGTATATCTTGTTGTGGTAGAGTTTGCCCGTGATATTGTCGTCGTTATTTTTCTTATCACCGCTTATTTTGCCCGCGTTTTCTCGTTCATGTTCTGGCTCTGGTCTGATGACGGAAATACGTTGATGAACCTGCGGGTTCTGTGTGACCACCGTAGGAGGAGAGCAGAACGGCGTCGCCTGAAAACTAATAGGTCACGGGAACACTTGTCATCGCCACTCGCTTGCTTTTCGCTTCACGACCAGTATGACGACGGCAGTCGTCTCCAGCAGACTAACTTACAGTAGCAACGTTGAAGCAATCCTCACGTGGTCCTGTCCCTTGAATGGCCCGCGCCGCAACACAATATACCGGGAACGAAGGGCCAAACGGCAGCCCGTTCTTGGATTTGTTCATGGAAGTCTTGGGCGGGTGATGTCCGCCGTCTTGTCCTCGAAGCTTGTTGGAGTGACAGTGCACCTCGGTGTGAGCGTCGTAATCGTCGTTGCAACCCCACTCTTACTCTCAAGCAGTCTGCTGATCTACCGTTAAGAGAATGCGCTTCAAACGACTCGCTTCTACCTGAGTGAACCCGGCTCTCGCGGCAGCGTTCGTCGTATCGTTCTTGACTTGGTTCCCAATGTTTCATCCCTCCTTTGCTTCGCCTTGCAGATACTTGAACAAACGGCCGCCGATCGAAGTGCCACCCAAGAAACAATCAGCAGGCCGGCAACCCCCGCCGTAAAAGACGGTCCGCACACCGGTAGTATTGCGCTCAATGGCAGTCCAACCACCGCTGGTGCTGCTGGTGCTGCTGAAGCTACTGGTGCTCCTGAAGAAAAAGGAGGCGCCACGAGACCTTGGGCTGTGAAGAGCCATGGCAAGGGTATCAGCAGTGGAGGGGGCGGCCTCGTACCCGACGGGTCGGCGGCGGTGCATGCCAGAGCGAGATCCCTACCGAGCGCTGGTGCTCGAACTACCACCGCCGTTGTCGCGGAGCCAGGGGTGGGTACGGTAGAGAAACCAACAGCTGGTCATCGTGAGCACGTCCAAAGGTGTGCGTCCTCGCCACTGTTGGAAAGGACATCCCATGGAAACGTCGGAGTTGGCGCCGTGATCCCCACACCCGGCAAGTCCCTTCTCCTAGAGGAAAACAAAACACCGGCGAGCCCAGGACACGGCGGCAGGAGCATTGAAGAGCATAAGGGGACAGCCCAGGATGGCGGGAGTGCGGCGGCCGCGGCCGACGGCCCTGCGACATCAAGCACACGCACAGGCACCGCGACAATGACCACCGGTTACAGCCTCCCGAAGGGGCGACAAGGTGACACGAATACCGAACGTGGAAACGACGGCGCTACCGATAGCAACAAAGGCAGTCCTGCACCCCCGGCCACAACGGCGGCAGCAGCAACATCAGCAGCAACAAAAACAGCAGCAGCAACAGCCGCAACGGCAGTAGCAACAACAATAGCAGCAACAGCAGCGCCAGCGGCATCAATAACGACAACGAGAACGACTGCAGGGGATAAGTCCATCGACGCCGGACACTCCTCTTGCTCCAGCGAGCATTGGTCAGATCTATTCCGGGACAAACGGCTGATGGAGGACAACTTCAGGCGAAGGGCGTTGCTGCGAGAGCTGTACCTATCTCCTGCGGAGCGGGGGGAGGGAAGAGGAAGCCGGTATCCCGATGAAGATGGAAGGGGAGGGGCCGAGTCTGAACAACGAAACAGTGGGGGCTGTGGTAGACGTCGCAAAACGTCTGGCAAAGGTGCGCCCGCTTCGGTTTAATGCCGGTACGTCTCACGCATAAACATGTCAAGGCCGACCTAAGCGTCACGCTTTGAGATCATCTTACGCAGCCTACTTGGCCGAAACCACATGGGAGCTGCAAATCGATGTTGGGCCGTAAAATAAGGCGCCCAGTCACACACGTTGCCCTAAACCCTGCTGTAGATAATCGCCATCATACCCCACAGACGAAGTTAGAAACGAGCCTGGGTCGAAACGAGACGTTCTCGAGTCGTGGCACCCCTCCATGGTCCTAGGTCCTTCTACTTCTAGTTGGGTGACTCTCTCGTGCTCGGTGCATCACTGTGGAACTCGATACCTTATTGTCGGGTTATTGTTTTCCCTGAAGTTCCAAGAGATACGGTGCTGAATGAAAAAGGTATGAGCCCACCAGGCAGCACGCACGCTCCGACACAAAACCATCAAGAACACGAGCAACGGCTTGACGCTTTTGCTAGCATGGTACCCCCACCCGTGGTGTTCCACAACCGTCGAGTCCACTTTCTTCTTGAATTTCCCCAAAAACGTTGTTCATGATTTTTTTTGTTTTTTTGTCTTCACTTCAAATCAGCGCTCACAGCACTAGTAGTGCCGTTTACTCCAACCCGTGGTCACACAGAAGAGCCCCTCTCTACCCTCCCCTCCTGCGGTACGTTGCCTTCGATTTTTAATGCGAGAAGAGTTCAGCGCTCTCTTCCCTCTGTGTACACACGAACTAGCGCTACACACTATGCCAGGAGCGGAAGCGAGAGAAAAGCTCACTTTGCAAGAAAAGTTCACTTACGCCGGGATTCGAACCCCTGACCTGACCTCTAGAAGGTTTCGAGGTTACCAACTAGACCACCGGGGCGACCATGATGCGTCTGTCCGGCGTGTGAAGGTGCCAGTCTCGTGGAATTCAAGGCTTCGATGGGGCTGAGCGCGAAGGGGGAGCTCTTCGACGACCTTTTCTGCCGGCCGTCGTTCTTGGACGAGGCCCTCACCACGGAACCCGGGCGAAGAACGCCGGAACAGGTAACCTCCACCCTACCGTAGGTGGCAAAAAGGAACATACATCCTGGACCGATTTTCTAAGCACGATTTCTCCACATGCGGCCTTGCCGAAAATGGCGACGTTGGAATCGTCTCGTCGAGAGCGATCCCGAAACGCACGATTAAGACTGTTGTGGTATCATCTTCGATGGGGAGTAGTCGAGCTTTGAACATCGTTCCAGGGGGTGTGATAACTTATGTCACCGGCGGTCAACCGCTGCCTGGCCCAAGGAGGAGAACGCGCCCACGACGGGTGTCGTCTTGAAACGCCTCACTTCCACGTTCCCCACCCATCCGCTTATTGCTAGTCCTACATTATATCCCGCCAAGGGGAAGCGGGGAAAACGTTCCGGGGTAAGGAGTCTACAGATTGAAATCTAGGCACGGGGGGGCATCCGCGAGGTTGGGAGGGCGGGTCGTGCGTACTCCGCTGGAGATGTCCTCTGCCCTCTGTACGTTTTCTAGGGTAGCACCACTTCGGGCCCTTGATGACGCTGAACCGGTCGCGGCATCTCGCAGCCCTCAGGGTCGATGTCGGGGTCGTCCTTTTCAAGACCCAAAACAGTTGGAATAGCACCTCGTTATGGGTAGTATCACCGGTAGACATGACTCTATGTTGGGAGGGGGGGAATTCTGGGAACACTCGACCGTTTTTGCACCGATGACCTCGTGTTCAAGATCAGGCGCTGAAACGCACTTGAGGACCTAAAAAGAGCAGAGAATTCGACGTATTTTCCCCCAGCATGGAGAAGAGATCGAAAATACAAACAAACGTGGAAAAGTCAAAATATCATGTGCTAATGATGCTTTGTCGAAGTTTACCTCATGTCGATGGTTTGGGATGACTCCCGGCCCCCTACCAAACCTTACAGCAGAACCTAAAAAACTGAAAAGCCGGAATCCTCACCCCGCCACCGTTGTCCCCCGTGCTGGTTTGGTCTTGGCGTGGATGGCGTGTGCAGGTCGTCCACGTGGTCGAGGCGTTGGCGGCTTGCCCGGCCTTCGACGGGCTGGAAAAGGAAGTGATGATAGAGATCGGAAACGCGGTGGAGTACCGGGTGTTGGACAAGATGTCGGCGGCGTTTCTGCAGGGGGAGGAGATCGACGCCATGGTCGTCATCTTGTCTGGCCGGTACGAGAGACAGCACCATCATCGATTTTCTTCTTGTTGTCCCTATCCTTGAGGGGGTTTGAAGTGTTGTACATGAAGCATGTAAAACCAGGGGTGCACACGGCGTCACAAACTGCTCATATCGATACTCCCCGAATCCACACCTCCGAATGCACGCCGACATATGAGCGGCACACCTTCGGGTAGCGATTCGACTGTCGCGCTACTGTACCTCGTCTTCAGATACGACTTGGTGTCACGTCATGATACCGTTGATTTGGCGAAACAGGGTGGCCGGGAAGCCACAGAAAATACAGATTTCAGCGCGATTTGGCAGCGATATGTGTTAGGTGGTAAGCCAAGTAGTAACAGCTCCCAACGACGCCGTGGCCAAGGTACCTACCCGTGATGCACGGAAATCAAGTCTTTCCGTAGCCCAGAAGGTTGTCGGCTCGCAAATCGATGAAGTCACGCACCGATCTTGTACTTCACTTCAAAACGAAACGTGCAGGGTAGCTGTAAAACTGCGTAGGGCGGATTTCAGCGTGGTCACCGCCGACGAGCTCGGTCCAGGGGATACCTTCGGCGAGGCTTGCATGCTGGACGAGCACCGGATAACAGCCCAGCGCCGTCGGAACAGCAACTGCAACGAGAACGCCTGCGAGGGCGCACAAGGATCAGGCGGGGCAGACAAGCCCCCGGGTTCCCCCACGTCTCCTCGAGAAGTGAACGACTCGGAATCTCCTCGCGTGGTGGTACCGAAAGACAAAGGCACACCGGAGTACCAGCCAGAGGAGCCACTGACGGAGGGGGCAGGCTTGCCGGGACGAGGGGGTACCGGCGGCCGAGCTAGGGTCGGGAGCGGCAGCGGCAGTAGTCCCGGTACAGGGAGGTCGATGGAGACGTATCAGACCCTTGAGCCGACCCGCCTCGTGTTGATCCTGAAGCGAGACTTTTACCGGATGCCGGGACTGCTGAAGCACTGCGCTCACGCGTTCAAGGTGAACGATCCAGGCTGCCCCAGATTTACAGCGTGCGCACCCACCTGTGATATGCATGAGAGCGCACCCCCCCCCCCCGCCCTATCCTCAGGTAGCTTCTGGTGAAAGGGAACTCTGATCTGAAAATCACAGAGAAAGTTGTGCCCCCTGGCTCTGGCGCCCCCCAAAGCTCTGGCAGTACGCGACGACATACTGTAGACTTTATCCCCCGCCCCCCGTCTCTATGCCGACAATCATGCCGACCTCAAACGACGATACTTTTATTTTCCGTTCGGTTCCACGTCCTATACAACTCTTTGGTGTTCATTCATGCGTAACTGTGATATCATATGGCGGCTTGAAACATTGATACGAAAGCGGCGGTTGGACGCGATCAAGCTGTGCGGATTGTTCGGAGGGTGGGAGCACGAAGATCTGATGAGGCTCACAAGGATGTCGAGGATCCACAGGCATCCCTCCAAGTCCGTGCTCCTCATGCAGAGAAAGGTGGGAAATGGGCTAACGGCAAACAGCACACGCGTACATGCTACAGGCCGAGAGACTGTTGTTGATGATATTGTCGATGTGGCGTTGTCGTCGTCAGCATCATCATCAAAGCTATTCTCGTTGATTTACTTTGTGACATCGGTAGTAGTTGTGGTCGTGTTGGTGAAGGTTGCCTTTCTCGCTTGTTGTGCACATCTCGTACCACGAGACGATGTACTGCTGTAGATCCTCTCCCAATCTCCTGTACATAGTTAAACTTTGTTGTCGCTGCTGCCCCTTATACATCTAAAAGTGGAAGCCTTTCTATGTCCACGCTGTGCCGCCTGTCGACTCACACTTCGATGCGAAATAGGAGCCTTCGCACCTTCATATCGTGCTATCTGGTGCCTGCACGGTCACCAAGTATCCGGATCGACTGTCGGCTGTACAGAGGAAGATAAACGAGATAGGGGCAGCACTTTACAGGATCAAGAGCAAGTACTCGTATCACCGTGACGTCCGCACTAAAGTGGTGAGTGAGTACCTGACCCATGCCGAAGTTTCGGGTTCTCGTGTGTTTCGACGGCGAACGATGGTTTCGTTGATGGAACAAATGGCTAGAACCTTGAGCGTATTGGATGTCAACGAAGACCTAGCACACGCGTACGAGAGTAGTAGCACATGTTATGTATATCCAATGAACTGAGCAACAATACGGTCTACCGTTCGTGCAAGAGGAACAGGCTACAGTCGAGGTAAGGATCAAGAATGCAAGTTTGGTGGCATCATCTGGTCTACAAGAAAGATAACAGGTCGAGCTTGCGAGACGAACAACTTCATTTTCCTCTCGCATTCATCCCAGGCAAGAGGCTCGAAGGACAAAGCGCGCAGCAGCAATGCCGCCCCGCCGGTTGCCACAAACAATAACAGCAGCAGCGGTAGCGTTACCGGCAGTCACGTCGATGTTCGGCCGTCGACATCCCCTGTCGGAGGGGTGTATCAGCGATTGCCAAGGACGCCTGTAGCCGAATGCAGCGCCCCGCTGTCGCATGTCACGAGCACAGAGGTAGGTTCATTCTGCGACAGTAGAAGAAATCTGGAGTAGACCAACTTTCCGGTTAGACTATGGCCGTTGGAACCAGGATCGTTACATAGGACGGGGGTACACGTTTAGCGTGGGGCAAATTGTAAAACCCAGCAGAAAAATCATAATGTATCTAGGAAATTTCAGTAGATTCGGTGATTACTTACAGCCACCCGGTTGCTTGCTTCCGTTGAAAGATCGAGCGCCCGAATAGGCGGTGGACTTCATCAAATTCGAGTAGTGGTCCATGTTGTCCATGTAGGGTCAAAAGAAGGAGGACATCTACTTTTCGAGACCGTCTACCTATGTTTCGCTTCTCTCCACCAATCAAAGGTTTTGGCCGACCCCATTCGCGCTAGGTACGCCAAGCGGAGCTTGAGCGAGAGATACGCCGTTGGAAGCGAACCTTGGCTCTCATTCGTCGAAAAGACGGTGAGGTCGTCAATACATCCCAGGTACGGTGTGTTGGTGATAGCATATATTTTCGGGGATCACTACGTATGCTCAACGTCTTCCCGATTGTGGCGCAACTCTCCCGGCTTACAACAAGGTACCATGGCACTTGACGTATAGACTAAGTCACAATTCGCGACAACGCGGCTGATCAGACACGGAGCGTTGGGAACCTGCAATATCCCCAGTTCTTCGGAGAGGTGTGCCTGCTCGTGCCGGACGGAGGAGAGGCCCTCGGGACCGTTTCCGCGGACACATTGGTGGAAACGGTAAGAACCCATCGCATGTTGTTGAGCGTTTGGGCTATCCGAAGGTACATTCTTTTCAACGCATTTTCCTGGAGAATGAAGCGGCATGGGCACAGTACATGGATTTTGTTCGGCTTGGCTTCCGATACGGATTTTGCAGGGCAACTCATTGGACGATGTTGATGTTCGTGACAACCACGTAGGGTCTATGTCGCAGTCCATGGAAGTTTGTGGCCGCCTCGGCGGATGAGTTAGACGGATTAATTTCTCTCGGAAATGAAAAATCCGAAATCTAGAGGTGAGAGTGCGAGTGAGTGTACCGAAAAAGAGGCAAAGAACCGCTGAACTTTCTCGCGTAAACAATGAAAACAAGCACCGCAAGGGGAGAGGTGGGGACAAAACAAGAAGAAGTCCGGTTTATTTCTCCTGCGTTGACCCCGGCTAGTTCGTTCGTCAACCCTATACCGAAAGTTGTAGAGAGGCTTCCAGAATACATGCGATGAGAGCGTACACACATCTGGCGGTTCATTCTGTCTGTGACGAAGACGCGCTTGAATGACGATCAGATCAATCGACCATATCTGCCGTGATACCCGTCTCTACTGTGCCGGTTGTGTGTCAAACCGGGTTCGCGGAGGGGGCCATGCTACAGAATGGATGTATAATGTGTTTTCTTTGCGTGGCGTTGTTGTTGACCTTGAAAATTTGAACAACACCATCAAACCCAATAATATTCTTCCCCCAAAATGCGAGCAACCTCCTATGCGGTCCTGCGTTCCGACATTATTTCTTCAGGTGTCAATGAGCAAGTTCGTTCTACAGACGTTCCACGTAACCGACACTTTCTTGCAAGGCGTACGACAAAAGGCCTCTATTTATCCGGAAGATATCAACCTGGCCAAGGTTTGTGGTCTGGGGCGCTCTACAGCTACAAAGTGCTACCATGCGTTGGAAGCATCTGCACTGTATATTGCAGTAGTCGCAACGTACACAGCTCGCCGCGCTTTTCTGCCAGAACATCTCAACGACACGCCTATGAGCATTTTATCGATATTGAATGGCCCAATATTGGCTTTTGTAGGTGTATGGTGCGTGAGGGGCGGAGTTCGTCGAGCAGAGGAAGAATTGATGTTGTTCGTTGAGCAGAAGACGGATTCAAAATTGGCCCCCATTTTTTCTGTGCTAGGCGATCGTTCAACACACCCGACTCTTTCCCGCGTTTTGGGGGTCCCGCAATGTCAACAACAGGCAATAGAAGTCGACAAGTGGTGGGAGGTTCGAAGACGCGAGCTCGTTCTCGAGGTGAGGACGCTTGTGCCTTCGTACCGTTCGGTGTCACCTACCTAGACTACAGTGGTAACAGTACCGACGGACAACCTGGGGCCGTTTTCCACGTGTTCAGATGAAACGGGGGATAGGAGGTAAAGCAACACCTTGAACTGTCTTTTGTGGGGGCTGATGAGCATGCCGCGACCATCGCAAAAGCGGGAAAATCAACACGTTTCTTCGCCGTTCGTTGCGGGGGAAGCCTTCAATGGTAGGACAAACTTCCAGGCTGCCTCACTCGGTTTTATTTGTTGCAGGCCGACCACACATGCGTATGTGTAGCATTCCTCTGTCAGCCGGCCATGCATAGCTTGTTCTGTTGACCTCCTTCGAGTTGTCACGTAAGCTGTCTGCAGCATACATCATGCACCATGCCGCGGTGGAATTGGTTTGTTCGTGTTCACTCCCAGTCTCTTGCAACTTACGAGCCATTGGCACGGGATTTTCATTGTTGACGTTGCCGGGGCGAACGCGTTCCATCCATTTGTTCCATGCAATAGTTTCCATTAACAGTTCTGAATGGTATTCGTGGAGTTATGAAAGATAGATCGTCGTGCCGAGAAGTCGCTACGGACAACGAGCCTCGGTTATTCCTTGAGAGTGACTCGTCGCCATGACCCCCCTTGCCTTCCGTGCGCTTGTTCCAACCTCCGCGTGTGTGTCAGACACTAATTGGCCCTGCAGCTACTGCAAGCGGTGGTGGGGGCTGGAAGCACAAGAACCAGGCGCTCGTGAGAAAACGGCCGAAACGATCGAAAAGGCCCTCGACCGCAAATTGAGACACCCTCCTTCGCTCCATGATTTTCTAGGAACTTATCATAGAGAACAATTGAACAACAATGCGCGGACCTTGTGAAGCTGGAATTGCGCGCTGCCCGAGTTGTGGCATTAGCCGCCCTTCTTGTTGCGGTTTCTTCGTGAGCCTCCTCAATTGGTGAACCTCGATGTGGAAGCTGATATTCTGGGTTGGAACTACTGTAGGCAGGAAGGCCGGTCTCAAGGCTCATCGGTGGCTAGAAAATGCCTCAGTGCCACATGAGGTCGTCGGCAACACAAGCAGGAGACAGCTGCACACAGCATCAGATTAGTCTTGGCGTCTGCTTCGCGGAAGCAGGAGGTGCCCAAATTTTCTAGCGACTACGGGGAAGACGTAAGGACACGAGTCATGAGTCCTCAGGAAAGCCAACGCAGCAGCAACCGCAGCACACAAGGGCTGTCTGTCAGCGACCTGTCACTCGTCGTTTCCGTGAATACCTAACGGTCGTGTTTTGAGAGAGAGGCGGAAGAAGGGAAAAGGGTCGCATGCACATTCACCCAAATGAAACAATCAACGCCACTCTCAATCGCAATAAACAAGAGGTAGGACCAACAAAAACTTGTGTCCGGCTTTTGACATGTCGGGGCTTCTCGAGGTGCTCGTTTCCGCCGTACCATCCCAACAGGAAGGCCCGTTTAAGCAAGCAAGCCATTCCTCGTGAAAGCCACACGTCACCCCGGGGTAGCTTCGGCATACCTAGTCAAGCGCCAACCATCGTGCCAAACGTAGCACATATCATCAAACCCTTTGGGATGGGACCGAAGGTCTGCTGTAGTTGGGAAATAACGCATACTAAGTATAACGAATTGGCAACTTGACAATCTTATATATTATTATTAGCGTGTCACCTCTTGGGCCAGGCAACTTTCTAGCGGTGAGGTGCGAAAAACACGTCAAACACGAACATGGACAATACGAAGACTTACGTACGCTCGGCCTGCAAAAGGGCTTCGCTCTCGAAACTAAAACGGAAGCAAGAACCAAGGACAAGGGTTCCAAAACACAACAAAACCGTCGTCTTTTCCAGCATACGCGTGCGTTCGGCACGTCATGCCCGAAAACAGGCGGCAAAAAAACAAAAAGCTATCAGGCAATCGGATCAGACCAGCTTCAAAGGCAATGGCGGCGTATGGATTCATGACTACGCCACAGAACATCACTCGGAAAACTCTGGCCCACAAAAACATGCACAAGATGCAAAACCATAACTGATACGTATCTTAGCGCCGGCCAAAACTCGACGGTGACATGTATCAAATCGACAAAAGAGACAAGGCATATGAAGCGTAGATCAATCGTCCTACCTAAATCGAGGAACCTGATGCACGTCACACCTTCTTGACCAGGAAAACTACCAATCCACGATCCATGTCTCGACCGCAAAAAACATGTCCACACCAGACCCATCATCATACCGCCGGGCCTGTTGATTCTGCTCTGTCTAACTCCTGTCTTCCCGCCGTAGACATCTGCTCTAACGCCACCGCCACTTTACCAACATCCCCCCCAGCAACACCATCAACATCGCCATCACCCCCTTCCTTCCCTGCAGCTGTGGCCTCGTCTTTGGCTTCAGCCTCCCCAGTAGCTTCGGCAGCCTCTTTACCCCCTCCATCCCCCGAGGATGCCTCTAGCTCTTTCTCCGTCACTAAGGGTCCGAGGTAGAGGTTCTGCACAGGGTTATCAGAAAAAAAAGGAGATTTTCATGGCCGGTCCTCTTATGTCGGTCAAGAGGTGGGGATAGTTTTGGCTACAATCGCAGAGAGAGAATGCACCCGGCGTGATGTGCTTTGTTGAAACGGCTCAAACGTATGTGATCATCAAGCGGCCAACTTGTCAACTCAGCCACCCGAGTATACCTAAACACTATCAACGACATATGTCACAAAAACGTATGTAGCAAGTTTTGACACCTCCACATTTTCTATTGTGTACATATGTGTATTTCGGAACCACGAGTCGGATCGGTCAACATCAATCCGTGATTTCTGTGCGTGTGTTTGCTTGCAATCGACCCGCTAAACGGCAAAGCAATGAGAACACGCCATCCCTATGGCGGGTAGAATATAAGAAAAGACTTCTAGTGTGTGCATGTGGGTGTTGATTGACATGGGGTGGAAATTGTGTCCATTCTCACAGCCGGATAATGGTAGCAAACCGGAACTTGACCATTCACGGGCAACGGCCAAATACCGTATGCGTGGCGGCATAACCACAGATATACGGGTATATACGGGTACGGGACTCGTGATCTCCAGTTGCAGTGCACTCACCCCCACAAGGCCGTCGAAGTTCACCCAACGGTGATACTTGTCGAACAGAGCGGTGCAATCCCTGCCGGCCCCCTTCATGATCTCCGGAATTCCTCCGGGATGGTAGTGAAGGAATGGAGTCAAGTTGTAGACCTGAATGGATCCATGCGGTCCGTTTCGCGCCACGTATGGGAGCCGTTGCGGCGGGGGGGAAAGAGGGGTGGGGTCACCGTTAACAAGGCGGGTTACCGTTGTTACGATGCGCAGTGGAGAATAGGAGAAAAGAGAACCGGGAACAGAGTACGGGTTTCTTGCGCAAGCAGGTGGCCAACCACGAGAGAAAGGAAGGGGGAGGACTCTCGGGGCTGTGAGCGCTTGCACCTTGTGTCGAACTGGCGTGAAATGGTTGCCGCAAAGCCAACGGATGAGAAGGCAGTTTCATCGAAGTGTGTGGACGCAGTCGGCTGTGATTCGCTACCCCTGGGTCTACCTTACGAATGGAACCAAGACCTGGTTGCTATTTCATCGACAAGCGTGAGCATTCTGATCCCCCAAATGCTGTAGAATGCACCCGGGAGGCGCTGCTCCGGTGTGTACACGTATATACGATACTACTTGTACGTAAGGGTGACAGCGGCCCGCCCAAAAAGTTGCACCGCAGTCTGTGCGACTACACTGACTGCCGTATGCATCAGCAGACACTACTTTGTTGTCCTTTGTCGGTCTGTTGAAGCAATGCCACGAAAAATTTGCTTGGGTATGATTTAAATAAACCTACCTTTGGTCCCAGGAGCAGCCGCTAATTGACGGCAGGCTCTGTGTAATGATGACCGTAAATAAGACAACCACACACGCCCCGTGGCAGTCAATCACACCGACATGGGACTCAGATGATGAAGCAATTCTCGAATCATGTGACAGCGCTGAACAAGATGCCCACCCTTCCTGCACAATACTGATGTCTTCCAAGAGGGAGATCGGTTTCAAACGGCCATCGCAGCGCCGTGTGACGGGAGGCATTGCTTGTCCCAACACAACACAATACACTATTGTTGCTGAGCCCTCGTTAGGCGAGCATGCACGGGAATAGTTGCACGTGTCCATGCGTGCGATACCCAAACTTACTTTGCCTCTGAATATGGACCAGCAGTCGTGTTGCGTGTTGTGCTGCCGCACTTCGGCCTTCGTGATCCCTCGCATGCCCGCCTCGTCTCTCCCCGCCAAGTTTTTAGCCCTTCCCTTCAGTAGGTTCCAATCCTGACGTTGTTTGACAGAGAAGCAACAAGGGCAGCAGGAGACGAAAATCAAGAAAAGCGGTGCAGCAGGCCGGATTCCGGGGGATCGAAATTCTGTCAGGCTTGCGGCGCGTCGGGGCTGGGTGCAACCTGACCTGCCGCCCTCTTCGAGCGAAGGGGAGGGGTACAGCACATCAGCACGTAACCTACCGCAGGAGCAAGCAGCGAGTGTGGGTTTGAGATTGTGTGCGAAGGTAGCCTATTTTGTCACACGCATAGCACCGGGGGAGAACCATCACGCCCGCAGGAATGCTATCGCTAGGCGGTGGATGTGCCGTGGGGGCTTGTCTGCAGTGGGCGTACAACAGTAGACAGGCTACTGCAGTAGACAGCTGTGCTGCTGTAGTCCCAAAGGTCGTTCTACAAAGGACTGTCATGGAAGAGAGGGAAAGGATGAGACTGCTCTCTATCCCACCAACATGCTGAAACCCGGCTTCACCCCGAACTTCTTTCTTGGATTGACGGGGCCGCGTGGCGGAGGCATAATCCGGTCCCCCATCCCTGCAGAGGACAGAGCGCACCTGACACAGCGAGCGTGCCCGTGCGTTTGATATGCTGCGAGATGAAAGAAGGCGGGGTAAAAAGAGGAGGAATTGAGCCGCATTATCGTGTGCCGATTCGGAAGGAGCAAACGAAAAAATGCGGTCGATTCCCACCGCTGTCGGAGACCTTCCTGCTGTAGGTTGTAGGTCTGTGTGAAGGGCTCAAAGGGACAAACAATGGATGACGAAGACGACGTAGACGGCTTCCTTCTTGGGGGGAATGGCAGGTATCGTGCCAAGTCATGTTGTTGGGATCGATTATTCTCTGAGCCTGTGTACAGCGTAGAGCGCCCACGGGAATCTCCCATAGACTCCACTTCAAGTATGCATACGATTAGCATGCGATACAGCAGTAGTTCATGTACTGTGCATATGGCACTGACACGTAGGACTGGGTGTTTGTCTTCAGTCTATGTAACTACAGCTGTAGAACACGCGCAAAAAAAACCTGTTGGCCTCAGCGAAGCCTTTACAAAGACAAAAACTTGCGCGTATAGTCTATGCGTGGCATGGACTCCGATATATGTAGACCATGAACTGTGATCTACATTATAGTTTACATGCAAAGTAGTCTATTTCCTTGAAGATGCGCCGATCGACATCTGCTCTGCAACGTACCTGGCATAGTTACAGCGCCCGTGTCCGGAAGTGTTTGTAATCTACTATTGTATGTCTCCCATGCCCTACACAGTCTTATTTACACGGGAGGGTTCGTCATACATGTAGTCGACTTTTGATACGCGGTGCCGTTGATCTCCATCCTACAATAGCACACGCATGGGGCATTATACACGAAGTTATAAGACAGCGCTCCGTCTACGAGACACGTCCGGACCGATTCCGCCGAATCTATTTTACACCATACATTCCGCCGTGCCTCAAGATGGGTAATTGGGACTATTTGAAATGTGAGTTGCTCAGTTCCTTAACGATACTTCCTTCTCTTGTTCCCGCGCCCGAACGGCAACACCCACGGCCCGAAAGTGATGCTACGACTGGCGCTCGGCAATGTCGCCGTGGAAGCAGCAGTCACCGTTCGAAACAAGCACGACGTTCACATGAATCGGGCGGTGGTAGAACAAGGCGAGGGAGAAGCTTGTCCTCAACTTCCTCGTTGAGTGACGACATCAACGACAGGCGTACGGCAGTACTAGCGCGAGACAGAAACAGCGATGAGAGCGGCAGCCCTGGTGGTGGCGGTCGAGCCCCTCCGCGCAGAAAAACGAAGAAACAGCACCGTGAGAGAAGGCACCATCGCCAGCAAAGGCTAGACATGGACATTGACGCGGCTCTATCGAGCAGCAGCGGTGAGGACGGCGCCAATCTCGCTTCTGGTGCAGGGAGAGGGGGCAAGCGCCAGAGCCGACTGAAGCCCAAGCATTCTTCCGAAACGCCGGAACCCCAGGACGATGGCCGGTATCAGCCGCATGATACAGTGGAAGCGCGTTTCGGGGGGCGATCAAAATGGTTCCCGGGCAAGGTGTGGGTAGACGTGTACCGGTATGGGACGTAAACGCTCCTGGAGTGTAGTGACTACCGCAAGCAGTGTTGAGTCGTCCGCTCTCGGTTGGCACAACTAGGAGGAACAATGTAAACGCGATCGATCTGCACGCTTAAACCACTGAAAGTGCTGACTCGGTGACGAAAGGGCTCACGCCGGTGGTCGTTTCTTTGTGGGATTCTCTCCACCTATCGTTTCCGATATTGCTTTGGCGAACCTCAAGAACCTCTCGTTTGTCTACCACGCGCCCCTTGTGTTGGACGGATGACAAGGTCCGCCGGGCCTACGAAGGGCGTGAGGGGCGACTGCTGTACGACGTAGATTTCGACGACGGAGACGAGGAAGAAGGCGTCCTTGCCGGAAGGGTGCGCCGACCGGGGCAAGGACCACCGGCACTGAGAGCGGGCTTAGTGGTGGACGTCAAGCTGGCAAGGAAGGGCAAGGTGGGCGAAGAAGCAAACCTTGCGGAATTCATCATGCGCAGCGTTATGTTTAAAACTTAAGTCGTACGGTATGGCATCCTTCATGTGTCCAACCAATTGTATCTGGCTGTTCACCTACGAAGGGAAGTTGTGGCCGTAGCAGTCGACGAAAAACTAATGGGGCCCGACTACGGTGTTGAAGTCCAAGGCGCGGAAAGAACAAACCCTCAAATTTTGGCACAGATTATTTAAGCCAAGGGAGGTATCAGGGGGCGTAAACCTGAATTGTGAAAAACAGTTGTTTTGAGCGGATCGCAGACTACTTTCGTGCACACGATGGACAGCAGTCGGAAAAAACTGTCACTACAATCGACCACAAAAGTGGATTGCTCGCCCTTCAAGGAACGGAATGAAAGGGTGGCACGAGACACTCTCCGGTGTCACACTCAACGACCGTCTAAATAGTACTAGTACCACAGAGCTTGGTTGTCATGTCGACGAGCATTGCGTAGACCAACAGCACCGATTACAAGCGGCCAAAGCAAGCGCTACCGTTAAGCCTGTTGTTGCTTCCGGAACACTCACAGAACGCTTTTGCAGGTTAAGGTTAGCCCATCTCTGACATTCATTTTGCGGGGGCTGGAGCTTAGTTCGCCCAACTCGTGCACCTGCATGCATGCACTTGGATGCCAACAACACGCAGGGGTACCACCCCGGTACCATCGGCAGAGTGAATGACGACGGAAGCCTGTACGTCAAGCTAGACGACGGCGATTCCGAGTGGAGCCTACCCGCCCAACAGGCGATTCCGATCTATCCCTACACTCCTTCTGTCGGTGGAACTAACACTGGCGCGAGTGACGGCCAGGTGGAAGCCCGCGCGGCCAGGGACGAGAACAGCAGAGCAGAACCTCATGACGACGCCGACGACCAACTAGGTAAGTAGACGCATCCGAAACTGACGACTGATAGCTTGATTTAGATTGAACCAGCAGATCACACTCCTTGAACTCCTTCATTTCTCTCGAGCGTGTATGCAAGCAGTGTCCGTGGTATGAGTGTGGTGGTAGTGATTTCACGGGGTATACAAATCGAGTTGACACGCCCGTACGAGGCACATGTAGGTGGTATGGATAAATCACTTCAAATACACACGGTCGGACTTCGAGGGTGTCAACTCGCGCTTGTCTCGAGGTGCTAGTCGCATAGGATCAGGCTACGACCGACAAAGTACCTGGATATCGCGTAGGCATGCGGGTCGCCCACATCTCAAAGTCCACCGTTAATGCTCCATTGCCGTCCATCGGGTCGATGAAATTGGTCACAACCGGTCAATCTACACATATGTATTACCTGCTCCATATGTATTACCTGCTGCAGAGTAAGGAATCGCGTGAAACATTTGAACAGCCCTCGTTTGGCTTTGTCTCGGGGAGTTCAGCGCTCATGGTGCCCCTTCTATCACTGCTGTCGGTTGTCCAGAATATAATCAGGCGACTTCGGCTTACGACAGGCTTCGGGTTGTATGTTGATCCTAGGCGTACTCTTGCGACGAACATTCGGGGTGCGCGATTGAGGATTGACTGCGCGCGTACACATAGTCTCGACGTACTCGGTAGAGCATGGCGGTCGTTCCTGAGTTGCAATTTCTCCTTCCACCAAGTCCACCGCACTACATCCAGAAAACTATTCTGCAACGTCCCCTTCTGTTTCCGACCGGTAATCACCAGAAAAACGCCACCAAAAAGCCCGTGACACGTACTTGAAGGACCTCAACGATCTAGAAACAATATCACACATTGAAAGTATATGCTGACCGGCGTTGTGTGCACGGTTTCCGTCCGAGACAGGGCCGAACAGCACCAGCCCCCGTGCCGCTGAGAATGACCAGCCTGCTTCTTCGGATAGAAGCAACAACACCCGAGGGCACCAAGCCTCTGCCGCCAGTACCGCGTCCGGACCGTTGCCGTTGTCGTCGTCGTCGTCATTCGACGGCGGCGCAGAAAAGCAAAGCAGCCAAAATAACGACCAAAACGGCGGTGCAGAAGAGAAAAGCGACCAGAGTGGCAGCGGCATAAGCTGGATTGCCGACCTGGCAAAGTCTGTAGAGACGCCAACACCTGCGGCACAACTACCCGATCCTGCGGCAAGAACCGACGCGGGTGGAAAGCGTAGCGAAGCTGGTGATGATAGCGGTAACCGCGGCGGCGGCGGCGGCGGCAGCGGGCTTGACTGGATAACAGAACTTGTGTCCCCGCTAGCGCAACCCAGTGCACGTGAGTCGTCGTCATCCGGCGGGGAAGCAAGCGCAGAACGGGGCCCACCCGTGGCAACCGGCAACCTCTCACCCGTACCAATCACGCAGACCCCGGCGGTCGCACCCGATCGTGGTCCCAGCACCCCGGTAGCGACGAAGTCGCGGCCACCGCGAGCCGTAACACCGTCGCATCTCGAGTGGAAGCCTATCACGGACGGTTCGGCGAAACGAAGGTGGGGCGCGCCTCCTCCCGAAGTGGATGCGGACAAGAGCAAGGGTGGCGAGGAGACGAAAACGCAGCAACGACAACAGCTACCGAATTCTCCACCGAGGCTGTCCCGAAGCACAGCGGCACCAGACTCTACCCGCTCACTGTCGACGGACGCGGCTCCTCTGGCTGATGCCCCGGCTTCGAGGAGCGCTACGCGCGTCTCCGCGCCGAAAATCGCTCTCCCTGCTGGGCAACAAGAGCCGAAAGCAAAGACAAATGTCGGCGGTGAGAGCAATGCGTCGATCGCTTCCACCGACACGATTGCTTCGCAAGGGGCGAGATCGGGAGGCAGGCCCCCAACGGTACCCGTGGCCGGAGGGCGTACGCCCGGCCCCGAGGTGCGCGAGCGCGATGACGCGAACACGCAGCACTCATGTGACGCTTCCGGCGGAGCGACGGCAGAAAATCTGGGAGGCTCGCAAGACAACCAGGGCACGGAGATGCATGCGACGCAACAAGAGGGAGCCGCAAGCTTCGAGTCGTCAGGGTCAGTAAACGCCACCGTGCCTCTACCCGGGGGGGGGGCACAGATTGCGCTACCATCGGTACAGAAGAAAGGTGTTGCGGAAGGGCAAAGCGTCCGTGGTGGGAGCAGCCGGTGGGACATCATCCGGTCTTCAGTGCAGCGTCGGTGAGCAAACGAATGTTAGGTTTCTTCTCGACACTGTGCGCCGGCGGGACAGAGAGAGAGATGTGCCAACACGTCAAGCCCTGGTGACGATGGGCCTTAACGATACCTACTTGCCTTAGCCAAGAAGAACGCCTGGCCTCGACAAAGGCTCTCTTCAGTTTTCCCCAGTGTAGTGCAGTTTCATTTGCCGAGAATCGATACCGGATTCGTCTTCAGCAAACTGATTCACGCGAGGGAGATACTCGTATGCCCGGTGTCGCAAACTGGCATCAACATTCACCGCCACGACTACTGCTGCAGCAGTCGTCACATCTCAAACGTTTCGGGATATCAACTGTCAGGTATGCCGCCGAAGCAATGCATCTTTCTGAGGAGGTGCGACTTCTTACCGCCAAGCTGGCGGCGGCGGAGGACAAAACACAGGCCAGGCTAGTGCAGGTACGCGCTCGGTTGCCGCCTGTGTTTCCCGACGGGTATTGTTCGTTTTCGATGAACGGAATTGCACCCTCTGACCCGCGCCCTAGGCTGCCGATGATGCCGATGAATTTCGGGTAAAACACCAGAAATGCGCACAGTGTCTCGAGGACTTACAGAACCACGGCCCGCTAAGGGGTGAGCACGACCCCATTTTATCAAAAAAACAATATCCGCTATCCTTCACGTTCTGTTTGGACAGAATTTTGGGTTGAACTGTTGGCCTGTTTCGCTAGACGTAGGCAAGACACTCATCGGCCAGCCCCAAAACAACCCAGGGGTCCAGTTTTAACTGAACCTCCCCCCTGCCCCACCCATTCCGTGGTACTTTTTGCGCACCCACCCTTGTGGCTCTGGCAACCAAGAGTCAGCCGTTCGCAATCATCGAATGATAGTCGCTCGACTAGTCCCTGCATACGCCCATGTTCGTTCTCCGCTGCCTGCTTCACAGCAAGAGCGGAAGCTCGTCCGGCAGATGGATGAAGTGCTGAAGCGCGAGCGTGACAAGATGCAGGCGCTCTTGAGCGAGGAGAGGGCGTCTAGCGCCCGACGTATCAACACCCTGAAGGGGGAGGTCGATGCCGCGAGGAGGCAGTTAGAGCTTGAGAGAAGACGCAGCGAAAAGGTTAGGACCGGCAGGTTAACAACCAGTTCACAGAGAACGTGTACAGCCTATAGACCAGGCGTTAGGACGGGGAGAAACAATGGTCGGCGGTTTCCCGGTCATGCGCCAGAACCCACTTCCACATGCACTCTGCGGGTTAGTTGTCACTTTTCTGGCAGTGGATGCGGCTGCATAGCGATAGCGTGTCGGCTTCTCGTCTCTGGCCGCTCAGCCTGCTGGTACGGCGAGTGCGTGATGTTTGTACCGCTGAAGCTTGGAGGAAGACGGAGCGAAAAAGTTTGAAACCAGTCTCGAGTAGCCCCCTTTTCACTCCGTTGATTCATGCTGAATCCCGTTCCAGGCCGCGTCAACCGGTGGGCAAGCTATCTTGAGCGGGCGACGGGCGAAAACGTCTCCTCCGCTCCACCACACCACCGGATCTGTTAGAGGAAGAGAGAAGACGCGCGGCACCGTCAGCAGCTACGAACCCGCCCATTGCGAGGCTCCAGATAGATCGGCAAGCACAGTGAGGCGTCCTCGTTCCAGTTCAAGTGCACGGGTTTCCAGAACAGGGCCGTGGGGCTTGTCGGACAGAGATGCAGGGCGGCGTTGTCCTCCACCGCCCCCGTTGTCGCTCGCGACAACATGCCCCGATAGCGGCCGAAAGGCTTCTTCGGCCGCCAGTGCCAGTGAAGGCGCAAGAAGGACGATCTTCTCGGAACGGTTGGGGCACACATCGTCTTCGGTGCTCTCCCCGTTGTCTTGTGGTGGTAGTGGTGGTGGTGGTAGCGACGGTAAGGGTGTGGAATATCTTGCCCTCGAAAACATATTGAGAAATGTCCTGGCGACCGTCGCGGAGCCATCCTCCTCCTCCAAGGAAGAGTCGTCGTTCCACAACCGAAAGCGAGACGGCGAGCAAGAAGAAAGGTCTGGATCAGAAGGAGAGGCGTTCGAAGAGCTGGCGCCGCCGCCTCCACGGCAACGGGAACGAGCGCCTGCCCACAGAGAGAGAGCCGTCAGCGACGGCCACCGCGAACAAGCCTCGCGCTGGCGACTGGAGACGGAGCGGCGAGACACGCGTAGACGCCTGGAGGCCATGAAGGGCGAGGTGGAGAGAGTCGTGGGACAGTTTCGGGCTCGTGCGGAGAGGGCGGAGGCCGCGGCTGCTTCCGCGGAGCAAAGAGCTAAGGTCAAGGCGCTGCGATATCTTCGATCGAAACGCTCGCCACCCACCACCGCAGGGTTTGATTGATCAAAGGATGTGCCGTGTACAGAGTTGTCGTGGAACACGTTCGTTTCGTGTATAGTTAAGAGGCGCTGCACATGCGATTGGCAAGGTTATTTTTTCTGGAACGGAGGGAGTACCTTCGAATCTCCCCGAAGACCACTCTGCACATCCAGGCCTCAGAGAGCGGCTCTGCAGAAAACGTCGGGCGGAGGGTCAGAAGGCCACATCATTACACGGACTCAAGACCAAAAACGCATGGTACACCCACCGGGCCACGCAGTTCGCTCGGGAAAGTAATGGCAACCCCCGTAGCGCTCAACCCGTCAACTCTAGCGAAGCATCGCCACAGGGTCGCAGCAGCAATACCTACATGCCGCCGGCAGTTGTGCGCATGGTTCAAGCTATCTTAGGCAATGGAACCGCCTTTCTTGCGTTTGTTGGCACCTCGGCGTGAAAAAAACGTGCACGTGAAGCGACCAGACTCCGATACACTTGTGGAAGTCAGCTCATTCGGACGACCCAAGCCCTATTCTATTCACACTTTCAGCCTCGACACAACAAAAAAACGGGGGCGAAGGTGGTGCTTCGGCCCAGGGTACGGTGACCTGTAGCTCAACTGTCCGCGCTGTCAATTGAAGGCCACCTTCAAACACTGACGGCCGTGCACCAGAAAAAAAAGAGCGGACATATAAACGTCGCTAACAACCTTTCATCACTCGTAATATTTGCTAGTCTCCCTTCCCCCCTACAACACTAGTCTGCGTGGTAACCTGTCTCTGTTCGGGCTAGACTGCAACCTGCAGAAGGAAAACACTGCATCATAGTGAGAACCCAGATATTGCCAATGACACCGCCTTCCACAGTACAGAACAAAGCGTTTAAAACGCCCCATATGCCCCAATACCCTTTTGGAACCCATACAACAAAACAGGAACTAACCCTCAAGCTTTTACTCCTGCGTTCGTATTGTCCTTCTATTGTTTTGGTTTCCTGCGTAGGTCGAACATCAACCGTTAACATGCCACTTTTCCTTGTCTTCTACAAATGATTTACGTCCTCACGCCCAGGACGCCCGGCCAAGCTCTTGTGAACCGACGGATTAAACGGCGGCATGGTTGTGAACAGCAGCTTGAAACGGCCACCTACAAGTGTAGAGTCTGTGAAGCCTCCAACGCCCTTGACTGCCCGCCCAAGTCCAGAAAATCAAGGAAAAACCGGAGAAAAAACTAAAAACGGGGGAGTCCCGCTGACTAGGACGCTTGCATGCTTGGCTCGTCCTGCTCTAGACTGACGTATTTTCATTGGCCAGTCGGTTAACGCGGTCATTGCTAACTACAATACACACTCTACGATATTAAACGGTCGCTGTCGAAAGGAAAGCCAGCTACACCCGATATCTATGCATCACGTCCCAAACCCTCACGGCCCCGCCGTCCGAACCGGTCACGATAACAGCAGCGTTGCCGGCGCCATTGTTAGCGCTACCGCCGCTATCCCAGGCGCACACATGGAGGCAGGTGATATCTCCAGCGTGGCCAGACTCTCTCACTACAGTCTGCATAAAAGAAGGGGAGAGTGACGCGATGCTCGAAATTAGAAGCGAGACGCGCGAAGAGAAAATAGCGCGTTGCAAAATTCTTTTTTTTGCGGCTTGCCGTGCGGCAGTCTGGGACAAAATTGGAGAGCGTCGAATCGCCTGCGCGTGACTATTTCCAAAAAGGAGAAAAGAGCAGCAGTTTTGACCCGTATAGAAGACAAGGAAGAGCTAGCCAATGGGTTCGGGTGGTCGCGGGGGTTTCAAGTGTCGTCGTCGAGCTACCCTGCCGGATGTAGTCTCGAGAGAAGCGCCAGTGGATCAATACGTTCGGAGACTGCCGCTCGCTGTCGTCCAATGAAAAAACGACGGCTAAACATGCAGTCGCGAGCCTCAGCACAAGGCTGTTCTCGTCGTCTTCCTCACGAAAAACACGCCTTCCGCAGACCATGTTAAATACAGAGCGGACGAAGGCACTTCGGTGTGTTCGTTGCAAACGCAGGCAAAACGCATGGGGCGGCTCTTACAACAGCCTTCACATGGTCAGCAAGTAATCTCACACGCAGCTAACGCCATGTTCAGCCTACGCATTGTTCTGATTCGTGTCCTTCTCCTCGCGCCCCCAGAGAGACGGCCAACGATTGGGGTGATGGACAGCCAGCGGAGGCTCGCATCGGCTAGATTCCCACGTCTGAACGCGAGCCCGGCCTATCGTGGCCCCAACACATTCTCATCAAATCGCTTCAGCCAACACGGAAGCATACGTAAAACGGTTCATATTTTTCTTGTGCCATCACACACCAAAACCACAAGCTTGCCTGCGTGAAACCCCCGTCTTCGAGGGAGCCGAGCAGCCGCAAAGACCCGTCCCGGCACGCCACCACGGTACAGCGCCCGTCGCTGTCCATGGCCACCACCTCTGAGTCAAGCCTGCAGCCGACAGTTAGGGGATATAGGTCAATTCAAGGCGCACAAGGGGTAGCCGGTAAAACGGACACCACAAGATCAAACTCTAACGAGTACTGTACACGCTCGTCGAAACATGGGGACGTCGCAGAGACACAGCGACGCCTTGTGCCCCTCCTGCGAGGTTCTTTGGCGCGGTGCGAAACCCGCCAGAACTTGTCGCGACGTACACGCCGCGGTGACATGTCTCACGACGTTTCGGCAAGACCCCTGGTGAACGTGAGAGTGTACATCAGGCGGTGAGCGCCACGACATTTACACGCTGCGGTGACAAAGTCTAATGACGTTTCGGCAAGATCCCTGGTGAGCGTGAGAGTGTACATCAGGCGGTGAGCGTGTCGGAAACATCCCTGGTTTTCCTTTTTCTTGCGAGAGACCCGTCAACAAAAAGTTGGAATGTGCCGAGGCCCAATCGGTCGGTAAGCAAGCCGAACCGTGCCCATTTTTCCTCCATCGACCGAAAGAAGAAAAAAAAATACAAATGCGAAACCCATCTTCCCCGAGTGGGGACCACGAGGGTCACGCCAACAATCACGATACATGCACGAAAATCAGATTTGTTGCCCACGGCCGAGAAGCAAGGGGAACAGAAAACGACGACGCACCAGTCACAAGCAACATCAGACGCACGCACATCAGCAGAAACTGAAAGACCCACAACACTTCGAACATGACAACAAAACACACACAGAACACATACCTTAAGGAGCCCAGGGGCACACCGACCGGAGACACGCGCCAGATCTCGCCGACAGCTGATGCCAACACCAAACACGCCATCCCACCGCCGGGGATTGAATGTGCACCGTCCCCGGTTTCCGCCCATCGTATTGACACGATGGGGCTCTGGTCGGCACAGCCGCTGAAGCTGTTTTTTTCGCAACGAAAAGAGGTGCCGACAGATTAAATCCGGTTGTTGTACATTGTCACATTGTCACATTGTCGCAAGAAACGGTCATTATGGTCGCCGTCGTGATTGCCGCTACTGCGATGGTGTGGCGCCAGTCATTCCGTTTGATACCATCTCAACAGGATAAGAGGGGAGCTTGACCCGCCAACACACGCCTCCTCATAACAAACAAAAGAGAGGTCAACAATAACAACTTACGTGGCTGATAGGGCGCCGGTGGCGATGTCCCAGACCGCAACCATCCCGTCCTCCCCGCCCGCGGCGAGAGCTTTCCCGGCCCCGTCGATGCAGAGCGCCTGTGCGGGGGTTTCCAGGTCGAAGAGCTCGAGCACGGGGACGGGGTCCATCTCGACGGAACTGATCTCCCATACCTTGGATTGTTGAATAAATGTACAGAGATAGGGGGGGGGGGGAGAGGGTCAGAGAAACAAGAAAGCGAAAAATGGTACTTGCCTGAGAAGGAGCCCGGGAGCATGCTATGCATATATTCGAACGTAAAAGTGGCGAAGAAACAGACGTCGGCGGCCAAGCAAAGGGTGCCATTCGGCAGGGTCCATCCACCAACCCGCCATCGATGCATCCAACAACAGGAAAGAGATAGAGAGAGAGAGAGACAGACAGAGAGAGACAGAGACAGACAGAGACAGAGAGAGAAGGTGTGTAGTGGCGTATCGGAGGGCTAGAAAAACGCTGCGTGAAAGGCGGCCAACAAACTACAACAAGGCGCGGGTACGCAAACTTCGCGTCTGCTCTGTCTGAACGATTGGTGGGGAGCGTAAGGGCACCAAGGGTGTTCATCATGAGAAACCGTGTGTAGGCGAGGCGAAGAAGTCACGGAGTCGCCCGGTACTTCATTGTCTAATACTAAAAGACCTAAGCTTTTCCGGAGAAACTGGACGGCCCTACAGATGTATTGTAATAGCGCTACTGCAATGACGTCGTGCAGCACATCCAACAACAACTTGGCCGTGTTGAACTTGCTCCAAGCGCAGAGTATGTTTGCAATGCAAAAGAAACACGACACTCAAAAGGATATATAGGAGATTTACTACTGAGTATGTGGCAGTGGAGACGGAAAGTGATGCCATGGAACTTACAGCAGCACTTTTGAAGGAATAACACATGGAGAAGTCATGCTTATACCTTTACGGCTGCATCCCATGACCCAGTAGCAAGGACGAGTTTTCGGCGAGGATCAGGACTACGACGGCCTCCGCTACTGCTGCCGCCGCCGCTGCTGCCGCCGCCTGCAGATGTAACTGGCGGCTCTTCGTGCAGCGCCAAACAGCTCACTCCGTCCTGACAAAAACGCGTGCAGTAGAAAAGCATGATGACGTCGTCAAAGACTATCCCAACGCAAGAAAAAATATACACGACATACACCAGGCATCACAACATGTTGAGACTCGACGTTTTCTGCTGTGTGCACTGCTGTTTCTGCCATGGTCGCAGGGGTGCGACAACCACCAGTACCCACAGCCTTAGCCACATCAACAGAAGCAACAGCTACAGCAACAATACAACCAAACAACAACCACCACAACAAAAGCAGCAGCAACAAATAACCAATAGTAGCAACCACAGCATACTTTCCCACCTCGTGTGCCCCCTCTACCCTGGACAACACACAAGCCGCCTCCACCGAGTACACGAGGATGCTGTTGTTCCACGACCCTGCCCGAGCGAGCAGGGGGGGTGGCATAAGGAGGCGGGAAGGGGGTGAAAGACGGAAAACACAAAAAACAACAAATTTCAGCCCCATGTAAGAGGAATTAATCACAACAAAACAGGCCACAAGTCGAAACCGGTGGAAAAGGGGAGATCAGCTGAGTCCTTCGGATGCCAGATGCTAAGTGTTTATCGTTGAGCGAAACGCTCGTCGAATATGTACTCCTCAAAACGAGTTTCACGCTATGCAACGGGAAGGCGGAATTACTCTTGAACTTGGAAAGTGGAGCTACACCGAGAAGGCTGCCATGCGCAAGAAGCACACGAACCGAAACGACAACCGCAACTGTAAGATGTTATCACCTTGAGTTCATCCGTGCCGTCTACTTTCGCATGAACGCATGGGAATATATTGTCTGTCCCCATCTGCGTACAAAGCTCGGGAGAAAAAAAGGAAAAAAAAATAAGCGAACTATACCTGCGACCGCGTGTTTTCCGTCGGAGGTGAGGGCGCAGCAGGACATGGCCATCTCGCCACCGGCTACACGCCGCCTCGTGTGGGCCTTCGAAACAGGACCAGAACCGCCAGCCTGTTCGTCCCGCGACGGGGCGATTACAACACGTTCCGGGAAACACAAACGCTGAAGACGCTTTCAACGACCAAATCAAGGACCACACAAAATGCGGATGGTGCGAATGTATGAACGCCAGTTCTACCAAGATAGGTAAGACTCCCACACAAAACTAAATGGGCGACACATGGTTCCGCAGCGGTTGCGAAACGGAACGTAGAACCATGGTCCGTACGGTGATGGCAGCTTTGGTCGCTTTCGCATAAGCAACAACGTGTTCGGAGCGCTGTAGGTGATTATCCGCTCTACCGCTGCTGACCAGTACTATACGGCTTCTCGCTGATCATGAACGAAAAAAAGGACCCCGGGTTCGTGTTTGCGTCGCGCTTGCCCACGTGCGTTCCAAGCACCAAAAGCGTTCGCTTCACACAAACAAATATCCGCACGATGTTACCACAACACAGTACTCACACAACGCCTCTTGGCAACAAGCACAACGCTCGGCTTGCGCAAAGCAACGGCAACCCCAGCAACAGCTACACCAGCAACAATAACGGCACCAAAAAACCACGACAACAACTTACGGTAAGCATGGCTGGCCTAACACGGCCAAAGAGAGCTCGATCTTTGTACAATCCGTGCTGAAAACGAGCTACGAGCATACCCCCGCACACACACGTACACAAATGCACAATGCAGAGCACTTCACCTCGCGTTCCAAGGCGAAAATCTTGAGTGAGCCGTCCTTCGAAGAGGCGCAGAGCGTCAGGTTCCCACGCTCTTCGCCGGCGGCGCTTACCGCCACCGCTGCCCCTGTCGCTCCCACTGCCGCTGAGGCGCCGGGTTGATGTTGCTGCGGCGGGTCGCCCCCGTGGCCTACGCCGTTGGTCCTGACAACGTGGGCACAGGTCACTCCGTCCCGGTGCAGCACCTTCCAAAGATTGGTTGGGGAACAAACGGGATAACGACCCGCCCTTTGTGAGAAAAAGGGCAACATGGGCACAGGTCATTCCAGCCCGATGCAGTACCTCCGAGAGGCCGGGCAACAAACGAAAACATGACGCCCCTCTTCGTGAGGGAAAAACAAGAAACACGGGTACACAGGCCACTCCATCGCGACGCAGCACCTTCCATAGGGTGTCGGCGGGAAAAAAACGAAAAAAGGACACACCTCTTTAGGGGCGGGGGGGGGGGGGGGGGGGGGGGGGGGG